AGGGTATGCATGTGTAAGGTAGTTAAATGAGTCCGGGTGTAATCTTGCCAATGCAGCGAGTAGGGGGGCTGTTGGATGTACTCACAGCATCAACAGATTATTGCGAGCAAGAATTTCCCGAGCAGATGGAGCGGGGAGTTTGGGGGGTCAATGGTTGCTATGGATTAGATTTGGTGGTACCAACTTTATCACATATTGCAGGTTTGAGGGTATGGGTGTCTACAACGGAATTTGTGTGCGTGGCTTGTGGTTCCTCACTTCCTTTTTCTGTGTATAATCAAGTCCTTTTTCCGGCTCTCACGCCAACCCCGGCTTCCACGCCCATACTCCGGCTATCACGCCAACCCGGCTTCCACGCCTTCAGGACTCCCACGTCCCTACATATACCTTTACATCAGGGCCACCACGCCACCCGGCTTCCACGCCACAACTATATTATACACGAGCTTCCACGCTCCACCACGTAGAAGGGCTTTCACGCCCGCGGATAGTTTCTACATTTTGACCGTTGGCAGTACCCAGCTGCTGGCACCTTTTGTTTCCCACTACGGGACCCCGCGCCGAGGCACCCACGCACAAAGCTACTCAACATACAACAAACAAACTCAATACTCACCTAAACAAATACACGGACGGATAAGATTCGGTTGATTGTATGTATTGTATGTATAGTATGTATGTATGCAGTTATTATATAGTAAGTAGTGTGCACACCGCCATCATATGCATAATACTGTATACTGTAGGAAAGAAACAAATGTAGGTGCGTTTGCTCGTAAGGCATTGATTGGTGGTGTTCGTTTGGGTGTAGGTTGATGGGTGTTGTTGATTTTTTTGTTTTGTATTTTCTTAGTATGACGCAACGAATCCATCTCTATCTGAGAGTCTAAGATAGATTATTAGCAATGAATCCATAACGTCAGAGGAAGGCTACCTGTATTTCCACGATTTCCCGCGCAGCACACAGCGACATCTCCCCTGCTGTGGGTAACAGGCTCAACAAGACAGTTTGTTTCTTTCTTTTTGGTGTGTGTGGTGTCCCCGAGGGGACAGACCTCACACGGCGGCGGTGGCCATCAAATTGGATGTGGAATGCCGAGGAAATCCTGCTGGAACACTGCAAGCAGTGCGAACCCGGCGATTTCAAAAACAGGTAGTAGGTAGGTGTGAAAATGGCACTCATTGAACGTCAATCAGTGTTCAAACGATTAGAACAGAAACTACACATGATCCTAGCCAAAAAGCCGAGAAGGTGTGTGTGTGTACTGTTTGCGACGTGCCGGATTTTGTTCGTAACAAACACTCGAGAGGCTTAAAACAGGAGTATTATTATTTTGGTCTGCGCGAAAGTTGCCTTGTATTCGACAAATTGCACAACAATAAGACAACAACATCGCAATGGATGTTGCGGGAAAATATCGCTCTTGTTTTACATTGTGTGCTTGCTTATAGTAAATACTACAGTCAACAGCCATCGTTTCGTGCAACAGGCAGGCGTGGAAGCGGAGCATCATTAGGTTGGCAGCATTTGTGTAGCAGCAGGGTAATCCGCCCTTCCTTTCTTTTTTTCGAAAAATATCCATGTATGTAAGAGCTTACGGTAGCCTTGAGTACGAAGCCGGGGAAACTTGATCCGGGTTGAACGACCGACGGAGTGATTGGGTTGAGGCCGAGGCCCATGGTGGGACCGATAGCGAATGTTCCTGGAGCGGTGATGTCGAGAAACTACATGTATATCGATTCTTGTTTTGTGTCAGCCTAGGCTTCAACAATGTTGGGACAGATCTGGTACGCTGGAAGGCATGTATGTGGTGTGCAATTGTACACAGCAGTGGGGTTCATCATGCCCCGAAGAACACGTCGTGGGGACTTCAGCGGCTGAGTAAGCAGGTCAGATGTACTCTATTTTTTTCTCACATGACGAATGAATGATACGGTTGCTTTCCTTTCAAAAGTCGTTGCTCGTGTCACCTTTGACCATTTCGGCGGCTTGTCCCGGAGCTCCTGTTGCAGCTTCCTCTGGTGTTCCATAAGGCCGATGGCGTGTCTCTCTGTCATTTGCTGAACATACATCTGCGCCATGCGGTCGTACTCTTCCAGGTACTTATTCCACGCCGCGTTGAAGTCCTGAAACTGCATGTTGTGGGCTACCTGTGCAAGGAGACCAATCAAAGAGGGTCAAAGAGTCTTCAGTGCTGGAGGGGGAGGTCGATCAGTCCCTCCCTGCTTACGAAAGGATACCAACGCGTACTTTCAAAAAGGCAAGGCGGGGTGCTTCAATAAGCATAAAAAACGGTGTTTCAAGGTATTCTGAGGGTTAACACGCTCCACCGGGTGTCTCTGTTTCATGCTTCTCGGGGTCTCTAAAAGGTTACCAGAACGGGGAGCAAAGGGAGTAAATTTGAGGCACAGCGTTGGTGGCCGCCATACCTTTGTGTTGTTGATCAGAATCACGAGTGGGAGGGGCAATGATGAAATACTTGAGCTGGTACTGCCAGAAAAAAACACCCGCCTAAGTCAAAACATGCTCCTTTCTGTATCTCCAGACTGCACGCATCGTACAGGTATTAACATGCTCACAGGGAAGAGGGGGGTTCAAGGTAGGGGGTAAGGATGGCCAAGGCATAAATCAAGGTTGAATGTGGTTTGGAGGCATTTTGGTTAGTTGGGTCAGCGTCATTGTTGAGGTACGTATCGACTCGCAACTCTTGCGTTGGAGATGTTCGGCGATGTTCGGCCGGCTATCGAGGATCCATGTTTGCTTAGTTTTTGAAAGGTGGTGAAAACCCAGACACAGCCTGATTTAGGCTAGATACCGGAAGCTGCAGTAGACCTTGCACACACACCTAGACCGAGATCAAAAGAAAAATTGACAGTTTCTCCCTCTGCACCTGAACATCCTGCCTCTCGCACAATTGTCTCGCCCGCACGGCCTTCTGCTGCCGTCTCGTTTCTTGTCGACGGAGCACATCCAGCTGCCGCTGCGCCCTCCCCGCCTCGAGGTAGTCCCCGCCCTCTTCACACTTCACTCGGTACTCCTCCAAAATACGCAAGAACTCCATGACCTGCCGGTTCACGTCGTGTATTGTGGCTAAATATCAGAGGAAGGGATGAGATGGCGTGGGTGTGGCGAAGGGCTACTGCGTCGAAATACAATCCATCCATTCGGGAAGATGGGGTTTCCATGCCGTTGCTCTTTCCACCAGCATGCAGTCCATTCTGCAGTCTAACGTTTAAACACTGCCAAGACTACAGACAAATTTACCCTCAAGGGAAATCAGCCGTCAGGCAAAACCAGCCGTCAGGCAAGTCCCCTCGAGTGCACCCGTGCATTCGTTTCAAAACTTCAACCAAATGCTGTTGCGGACCCGGTCGTGTGAAACACCTTCGGATCAGGCCCCTCCAGCGGCCCCGCTGGCCCCGCCTGCTCCAAGAGGCGGATAAACTGGTCGAAAGACACTCGGCCATCCATGCCAGCATCGGTGTTTGCCGCCGCGGCCATGACACGAGCGACGTCATCTGCCCAAAAGGAGTGACAACAAGTTCAGACGCGAGGAGAAAGGATGCCTTGTTGATACGCTGTTTGTCGTGGTTGGCTGCTGGCAGTAAATTTGATAGGCCCAATGTTGCCCTGGTGTGTGTGCTTGTTCGTCCTATCGACAGTACTCTGGCGCCAGTCTATAAGCCTTTCGGCGCATATATCTGACGTATCAGCCGAGGTCACACAAGAGGAATGTGACACAGGGGCTGTTTCATGTTTTGTTTTGTAGTGCGCCACCTTCCCCCCGCACGCCTCGATACTTATCGTGCCGTCATTCAAAAAGGAGTGGATAGAAAGTTACAATAGCAGTATTTGTACCAACATTGTCAGCAGTGCAGAGCCGTTGGAGCCGACCCACCCCGTCTGGAGGAGATGTTTGACCTTCTTTGGGCCGAGCTCCTTATTTATTTTGTCTGACTACATAAGTTCTATCTTCTCGCCGAGGCCGCTATGTGTAGCAGGCTTGTGGTTTTTGTATACACAAGCCGGCCAGCGGAAGAGCTTAACATTTGTTTCTCCTACCAATTCCCTATCTACGCAGGTGCTACTGACAGTACGTGTACAGTACTTTAGTACGCACTCACCGGGATTATGTCCCACTTTCTGAAGGATGCCCTCGAGCTCCTTCACCCCTATCGTCCCTGTGTTCTCGGCGTCATACAGGTTGAAGATTCCTTTCAGGGCTGAAACTTCCTCCCTCCCGTACACTCCTTGCCCTCCAGCTTGTGGTTGCATTCCCCCGGCCGCTGCTCCCGCCGATGCCGACGTACGTTGGTGTTCCCCACTTCCCGTCATCGCAGGAGTGCCCCCGTTGTCGGTGTTTATTCCGCCGCCGCTGCCTCCTCTGTGCGACTCAGTAGCAGCGAGATCCATGGCTTGTTATTAACCTGATGCGTGAAGGTTGATGCTGGTTGAGGGGAAAGAGGTGACGACCTGTAAAAGCTGCGGGTCGAACGACTGCAGCAACAGAGTAGCAGCTGCTACATGTACTACAACCCTTGTTGCTCCGATATTTTGATCACGACGTCGTACATTTGCTCGTGGTCGTGATGTCGATTGCGTTTTGAGTATCTGGCGTGCACCGTCACGTTGGGGGTATCACGCGGTAGGGGCGCCTCCGCTGAGTTCTACAGGAAATACGATGTACCCTGGATAAATACCAAACAGATGTATGTAGGAGTTTCTCGACGAGAGCGGACTACATACATACTGCACCTGTGTTTGCAGTAAAAATGAACGTTACACGGCCCATGTGCCGGTTCGGCAGTCGGATCAAAGGATGCGGCGCAATCAAATCATCAGAGCCGTTGAGCTGCCGCGATCTTTCCTTGGATGGAAGTGCAGACAAGAGCACGTACCAAGTACGCCCATGTCCCCAGTCGGCTTGAACTAGTGGCAACATTCACTTGTTGAGCAATAGACTAGAACCATTTGCAGCAACGACACTTTTCGCGCGAAGCAAAGAGGGCTCGTCGCTCCAAGAAAGGGTTGCTCCAAGCATGGTCAGGATTTCGTCCACCTTTGCGGGAGGAACACGCCGCTTTCGGCTATTTCCACCAGTGCTACTGCTAGTGGCCATCGGGTCACGACTGGCGAGAGGTTTTCGCCTGGTAGATGAAAACGGCACCACGGTTCCGTTCGTGCCCTACGAACAAGGATTTGTTGGACGGTGAGGGAGCGAGAATACAGTGGCAAAGATGCGCTGTACAGAGTAGTACCACATGCTACTGTCGTCTCTTGAAGATATTAGCTGAAAGGTTCGACTGCTGAGGATAGATACACCTTTGATGCACCCACAGCACTTGACCAGAGCCAAAGGAGTAATGGCAGCTCTCCTTGTCGTGCAGGCACACAATTTTTGTGACCCTTGTCAGCTACAAACGAAAAAGGTTACTCATGATATGCCGCATACAAGCCACGTCTCTACCGACTCATGCCCGTGGCACAGCATTGTCAGGGTGTCTGAACCCTGCATTATCTGACCACGCTAGCTGATATTATTCTATGCGTCCTTTGTCGATGCTTTGTGTGCTTGCAGATTTGGCGATCCCTTCACGACGTTCGTCCGCGAGCGGGTCAACGAGGGCGCGCCGGGAACTCCAACTTATCCTCGTCTGTACGAGGGAGTCTACCCGAGACGTAAGTAAAAAGTAACATGAACGTCGCTGCTGCATCTGTCCAACTCAAGAGAGGATATACGCGTATGGACCATGGCAATCCATTTTGGCTATTGTGTGTGCCTGTTTTGTGATTGCGAGAGTTTCTGTTTGTATCATGAGGCAGAGGAGGGAGGTATGCGGGACAAGGGAGAGAAGAGAAGCGGGATGTAGAGAGATGTCATACAGGTACAGAGTAGAAGACATGGGCAAAGACAAAATATGTAGGAGAGTAAGTCAGGGAAGACATTCTTATGCACAAATTTGGTGACGGTTGCCAATTTCTTTCGCGTCAGAGATAATTTGACTGCGGCACAAGATCAGGGTCAGTGCAAAGCTCAAACATGCCACCTCGGCAGTAAGGGAAAGGTTTTCCTTGAAAAAAACAGTGGAAAGCCTCGCTTGTCTCGTACACCTTGTAGACTGCATTTCGACCTATTCCAACAGCCGAACCGAATGCACCTCTATTCGAGTCCTCTTTTCATGCACCGGTATTTGGCCTATACGAAATCGTCCTGATTGAGTGGTGCTACTGAGAAACACGCGCACGCACTCAAACCGTTTTTCAACACGCAGAAATATGCCCGGGGATGGTTGGACCGGTGGACGACGGCATGTACTACTGTCTCGGCAAGGAACACGGGTACTGCGATCGACGGTCCGGCACCTGTTTCTGCAACGTGGGGTATCAGGGAACCTCCTGCCAAGAGTGCTCCTCAACGCACTACGAGCAGGGTGGCTTGTGCTACCCCAAGCTGGTAAGGTCGCGGCTTGCTGTGCATGTTGTCTGCATGCTTCCTGGCGGTACATACCCATGCGGTGACCATCACCAATAGCGCACGCCAACTTTCTTCGCGATCCCTTATATTTTTGGAACCCAAGTCTTCTCATGTTTCTAGACATCCTCTCAGGCTGGCACGGGAGCTGTGGCGGGATTCCTTTCTGCAGGCCTCCTTGCCGTCGAAATTGAACATTCCTCATAGCCCTGCCGCTGACTCCTACTGTACATGCAATGCTGTGTCTATTCGCATATTTTTGCTTCCTCGGCACCGACCACCCATATCGCTACACCTGCAGCTATGCCCCAGCGACTGCAGCGAGGCAGGAACGTGTCACCACTCCAACGGCACCTGCTCGTGCTTGCCGCACCGGGTGGGCGACGACTGCTCCTCGCTCTACTGTTCGTCGGTGTTCAGCTCTCGTTGCACGGAATGCACCGCGGACGGTTGCACGTCGTGCGAAAGCGGCTACTACGTGGATTATTTGGGTGGCGGAGTAGACTGCCTTCCGTGCAATCGCCACGATCCACGCTGCACAGAGTGAGCATTGAACATGCTGCCAGGCCCCACTTGAGTTGTCAGATACGACCATAGAGTCAGTGCGGTATGCTGCGGCAGGTTATTCTGTGGGATTGGTTAGGGCATCCATCCGCGCTCTGCTATACTTCTGTCATTTATGTCTCTGAATATCAAGCGGTCGTAAAACATGTCGTGCGACGTCTCCCGTACGTTTTGGTACTGACATGAGCAAAATCACCAGCTGTATGAAAATTGCCCCCAAGACCCCCAACCCCTACCCCACTCCAACCCCTTCATCGCCACCACCATAACCATCACCATCGCAACCACTCAGGTGTGACGAAGAATCTTGCCTCGAGTGCACAGATCCGCTCCTTTTGTCGATACGTCGATCCGGGATGCGCATCGACGACCCCGCATTACCGTTCGATGAGATGGAGAGGGAGCTGCCTCACGCTCTTGAATTCGGGACGAAGGATCCTCGATATTTCGCATCAGCGGAAGCGTTTGACGTGGTGAGTAGCAGCACCAACCGGGAGGCCAGCAAGCGTTCTGAATGGAACAAGAACATCGCCCTGTATGACACCCGAATGGCGAAAAAATCAGTAACGTTAAGATGTGTAGGTTGGTGCGCCCCACGTCGGGGCTGAGGTCCATGTTGAGCAGTAGGGTGCACAAGTGCCAGCACATCGACATTCAAAACGAATTGGGGGGCACGATACCCCAGTGTTCGCGCAGCCTTTGTTACTCTTTATTTGAGACTCTTGAAACGACGCAATACATGAGGGCTGCTTTCGAACGTTGCTCTTCTTCAGGCTCATCGAAAGCCTTGCATGTGTCAAGCATGTTACAAACGCTGGTAGATGACGCGGCCGTCTCTGTTAACGACACCTCAACAAGACGTCTAACGTTTGCTCTAACCTTTGTCTGATGTTGTTCCACAGGTGGCCAATGCGTCCTCACCACTGAACGAAACCAGCGTGGCGTGCGCCCAAGGAGTGTTCGGGGATGACTCTTGGGCGTGCGAGGGGAAAACCGTCAGCCATCGGGTGAGCTGCGACTGCCGTATGTGCTACCCTTCTTCACGAAGCAAGGAGAACCTTTATGTAGAACCGTTGCAACTTTGTGCTACTGCACTACCGGTAGATGTGTTGCCCGCTGGTGCAGCGGTGCACTGTTACCTCGTTGTTCGCCGAGGAAAACTATTAAGTCTCACCTTGCACGCCGGCAAACTTCCCCCCAGTGGTGTTTCCATGGAGCCTACTAGTCAGCTCCAATGGGTGTAGGAACCCACCGAAACCCCAACATATTCACTCGGAGGAGTGAGATGCGGTGTGGTTCAAAACGCCCCAACCAAGTCGTTCCACTATTTGAGTGGGTAGAAACGCGTGGAAGGCGGTCGCATCTAACAGCGACCCCCCAACCAACACCTCTCGAGAAGGTATGTGGAAACCCGGGAACGATTTCGTTTTCATCCCCGGAGTACGAGGCGTTCGAGGACCCCTCGGCTTCGGCCGGGGCATACGCCGCCGCTGCGTACGGGACAGCCACCACCAACGGGACTGTCAGAGTTACCGTGGTACGCACCGGCGGCGGATACGGCACGGTCGGGGTGAGGTACCGGCTGCGACACGGGACCACGGACGGGGCGGACGTTTCGCCCCACGCTTTCTACACCACCAGGTGTGTTTCGGTTTGAGTGGTTAATGTAGCAATAGAGTTCGGTAGGCTAGCAGTTTGTTGTGTGACAACCACGGATTTTTTAGCGAAACACGTTCCAAGAGGCACATGACGTTTCTGCCTTTCCGTACATCGCCCAGAATAACTCCTGACCTCCCACACGTCCACCTCGCCTCATGGAGTTCTAATTCCTACAGCGAGGGTTCGCACGACTCCCGAGTGGCGCAACTGTTCACCCTTACGATCGTTCACGGAGACTGAATCCGATCAACGTTTCGACGGTTGACGTTGTTCCGTTCAAACCGAAACAACGATATACCGGACTCTTTAAACCAAGTCCTCCTTTGGTTGTCTGTGGTATCTCTTCTCCACTGGCAGCGATGAACTCGTCTTTGACCCCGGGGTGGTAGAACTATCGATCCTTCTGGGAGTTCACGAAGATGGGGAGGCTGAAACCGAAGAGTACTTCGACCTGTTCCTCCTCGAGCCGTGGGGCGGAGCGCGCCTTGGATCGCAGCAGCGCACTAGAGTGACAATTCTCGATGCGGAGAGCAACGGAACGGTGACCCATCACTCAACAACTTCTTTACTCTTCGACCGGGACAGCAGCGATGGCATTATCTATGAGGAGGAAACGCAATGTTCGGGTTACGATGCCGACGATAATGATGATAGTGATGTTGTTGTTGTTGTTGCGGGGATGCTCGGGAACGTTACTCTCGTGGCCAGGGATGCGCTGGGAAGATTGAGGGGCTTTGGTGGGGATGTCTTCGAGGCGTGGGTAGAGGTTCGGGGGGAAGAGGAGGGAGAGACCAACGGGGTCAAAGGGGGCAGCGTCTCCTTGGACGGCTACAACGCCTCCGTAGGTTTGGAGTCGAATGGTATACCCTTGACGTCACCGGCGGCGGTAGAAGCAGCAACGCCGGCAATGGTTCGCGTGGAAGATCTCGGCAGCGGTGACTACACCGTCAGCTACCAGGTGCGCACCAAGAACGACACAAGGTTCAAAATTGTAAATACAAATTATGTGTATTTACTTGTGCCAAAGGTTGTAAGGCCGAGCTGGGCACTAGACTCAAATTACAGTCTGGAACATTCTGTGCGTGTCTCTCTGTGCATCGCTGCTGCTCTCATCGTAAGATCGTTACCCGACAGAGAGATTCGAATTTGGTACAAATGGTGGAATAACAACCGGGGAACCCATCACTTGTCTCTTCCGCTCTGGTAAGCGTCGAGAGAAGGCGAAGCGCTTGTGAAACCCCATCCTCCCACTCCACATGCGGAGGTTTCTTCTGTGATTATATCAAAGGAGTTCCCTCCTGCGCCGAGGGCGCTCTCAGCACCGGCGGGGGGATATATCCTAGGCGATGCCCTTCTGCCATATCAGGAGACCTCACCAAACCTAACACTTAAATCAAATGACCCGCACTTGGAACGAAACTATTCGTGTACGCCACACCGGGAGCTGTGACAATGAAACCTAACCACCATAGGCAAAAAGAGTCGTTTCTCGAACGTATGGGTCGCACCACCCATGGCCTTCCTGAGCTTTAGCCCTATCCCTTGAATCCTAACCACAGGCTTGACTCTAACCGACCGAATCTCAACCTCGACCATTCCAGGTTTATAGCGCCGGGGATTACTTGCTTCGAGCGGCACTTTGTCGACCTGGAGGTCTGACCGGGCGCTACACGAGCGACTCCTTCTTTCAAAACCAGGAGTTCCAGAGGGTAGACAGGCAAGTTCCCGCGGCGGTGCGTATACGTTCCTTGTTAGAGTTTGGGGCAGAAGACATTGCGGCAGAGGAGTTGGTGTGAGTCTTGTACGTTCGATCCCGAGGATCCATGAGCGCTGGCGCCCAGATCGCTCTTCGAGGCGGGCTTCACAATGGCATCCTCTGCGTTAGCCAATCACGACACCGAGTAGCTCGGTGGGTGCCAGTCATGCACGTCGACATGACGCGCGTTGAAGGCGAGGTTTGTCGGTTGATGCGTCTAAATGGCGCACGTCTACATAACGCGCTTTGGAGGCGTCGTATTTCCGTTCCCAACGCTCTCTGCCATGGTGGAAACTCTGAAAGCACACCTATGCTACTTCTGCTTGAAGTTAGAAGTACGGTAGCCATACCGCCTTGTCGCTGTTCTTCTTTTCCAGGGTCATGAACTTCACTTGGGGTGCGGGAGCGATCGTTGGGACCGCCACGGACTTCGCGGGAGCCCGCTGGTCGGGTCGAATCAGGCAAGTTATAACCCTTCAAGCACGGACCCAACAAGCGGTAGGCCTGGTTGTCGATCGGCCTTGGGGAACCACCACGTACACAAGTAGATTTCTCGGCGTCAACGTTGATGCCATGGTGCGTTCAATTTGGGATTGAGATTTCTGCTCTGATTTTTCCTTCGTCGCATAGCCCTTTGAAAGACACCAACGCACAACACGCAAGCTTCGTCAAGAACTACAAACAAGCACTTGCGCACACCAGTGTGTGATTGTCGCAGGTGCCCAGTGGTAGTAGTGCGAACTGAATGCACATTGTTCGTCTCGAACGAAACGAGGGGAAAGACGGGGGTGGCGAGCGTGGGATCAGAAGGGAGGGTTTGGTTGTTGTCAGTCTCATGTACGCGTGAAGTGACGTATCGCCGTAGGCCAACCTATCGCCACCAAATCGAGAACGAGCGCGTTAGTCTTTCATTGGATCAGGAAAAGTTGGTAAAAAGTTGGGAAATCGTATCGGCGGAGGTCGAATGCTTTGTTTATCGTACCGATAGAAAGGGGTCCTTTGCAAGCAATTCAGGGAACCAGATCCTCAGACGACACCTGCCGTGGGAAAGTATCGACATTGTTGAGTGTAGATGGCTTCTCCGGTGCCTAGGTTTGCTTTTGTCACCAGCGGACAATGATCATGCCTAGTTCCCACCAAGTGCTACGTAGCCGATGCAAGTATCAACTGTGAAACAGCCCCTAACAAGCACGTGCCACATCGCTGTGGACTGGGCGACATTGTATCTAGGCCTGACTACTCGGAAACCTTCGAGTTCGAATTGGGCACGGCGGTGGGAGGAGGAGACGCGGCGAGATTATGGATCGACGGTGCTGTCATTATCGATGGCTTTGAACGTGGCAGCGGAACTGTCGGTGATTGGGAAGGCACGGAGGAGGGGCTGGGAGGCGGGGGCACGGGCTACGTCAACCTCACCGCTGGCACCTTACATGAGATCTACGTCGAATACAGGTATGCACGTCCAGAAAATATGGTATCGTTCATCCTACAATGGTGGACTGGTTTGAAAGCAATCTTGCATTCCACAACCATGTTGTGTTGAGTAAATAGCGGTTGTCATGATTAACTTCCGGATTGCATTCAAGTAGGATCGAGCACCGTGGTTTACGAGTCCCGAGTATCAATACATGTGGGAACGTACGTATGCAGATTTCATATTGAGAATGTCTGTTTGCCTGTCCGCAACTGCAATACTGATTTTGTCTCCTTCGTGGTGTGCGAACAGAGCGTTTCCTTTTTATATACGCAACCGTGCAGATTGACACACCTTTGTTCTTGGTGGCACCCAATGTTACTGAAACGTAACTTGTTGTGAGACACACTCACTCTTTCTTCCTCCCTTCTGCGTCACGACAATATTTGAACCCAATGTACGGACCTTAATAACCATGCCATCGTCAAGCGAGAGGAGAGGGGATGCCTCGCTTTACCTTGCGTGGTCCAGCCCAAGCGTTTCCCGACAAATCGTTCCCCCAATGAACCTCTACTGGTGAGTCCTTGCTCTTGCTCTCGGTTTTGCTGTTGTTGTTGTTGCTGCTGCTGCTGCTGCTGCTGTTGCTCTTGTGGCGGTTCCTGTTCTCGATGTTCTCGCCATGGTTGCTATCGTCAGATAACCAGACAGCCCGATCTTCTACCAAGCACCTCTGTCTCGCATAGACACCCAGTGGGTAAGAAAACGGTTTCAATCTAGTCACAGACTAGCCAAACAAGATTCAAGAGAGTGACTAAAGAGGCGGTCGAGGGCTACACGGGCACCGAAAATCTTGCGAAGAGTTTCTTCGCCTATGTGGGGGGCTCGATTATGGTCAACGCCTCAGGGGTGGGAGTGGGAGAGAGTGGCGGGAGCACCGGAACAAGCTATCTACCCTGTGGAATCGACAGGGGTCATAGCCGGTCGTCAACTAAACGGAACGCTTCTACGTGCAGACAGTAGTGGCGGCGACCCTCAGCGCATACTTTCATCAGGTTTCCACCACTTTCAGAAAGACCAACAACTAGACGTGAGTAGTCCAACCCCCCACCCCATTCCCTGCAATCACCACAAACGATTCCCTCAATATTAACCCCAATCCGCGTGGCAATGCACCGGAAGGGTGAGAGATCTAGGCAGTGGCGGCAGCCCACGCGTGCTAGCGGTTCGATCGGCGCTAACGTCAGGCGAGAAGAGCGAGGCGTTCGGCGAAGGGACCGTATCGGCCGTTGCAGCTCTTCCCTCGACCTTCACGATTGTGCCAAGGTGATTTCTCGGTCGTGTGTGTCGATGCGTATGCAACACCAGTGAATTGTTAAAATCTACGCAAGTGTAAGGCGGAAAAGTGCCCTACCAGTGTTCCAACGTTGCCACTTGCCGAATGTACGAAGAGGTGCTGGGCAGGGGGTGTTCTCACGTCGTCATTTCACTCTCTTTGTTTCGAACGTGAGACGTAATTTGGGGAAGTTTGTGTCCTGACGTTGGCTTGGTAAACATCTGTTGAAAACCACCTTCATGCACATCCAGACCCCAATCCTACATTCCACAGTCGCTTTACGTCCTCCCCTAAGCATCGAAGCTGTCAACCGTACTACAAGGTGCTGGAGTTGGACTCGTAAGCGGCTTACCGTAGGATGCACCTCACTAATGTTCTCACGCTACGTCGCGTTGGGCGATGCTACGTAAGCATGGTGGATGAACACTCAGAGACGTGCGGTGCCCCGACTTCGTTGGAGCTGCAAAGTATATGGTCGAAACACTACGGCGCGCATGGTTATAAGTGCCTCCCACCCACCTACACTACGCTTTTTCGTTGCAGGGACGCGTTTGGAAACCTTAGGGTGGATGAGATGGATGCCGACGTGGCCCCGTCCGACCATTTTTCGGTTGTGCTGGAGGCAATCAGTTACTACAACGACGAAGATGGATCCACCACCTTGGGTGGCGTTTACGGGGCGGCGGGGAGCGGAGGCGCTGTCGTCACGGGCAAGCTGGAGTTTGACGCAGAAAACGGCGTGTTTTTGGTCGAGTACGTGCCGTTTGTGGCTGGTACTCACCTGCTCAATGTCACGTTTCAGGTGAATTGCGAGGTTTAAAATTTCTCTCTCTATTTTTTCATTTTTTCCCTCGTTTTGATTCCACGCCAAGGTGGCCCATCTCGCTCACGCACCAATCACGTCTTACTCTTTTTCTCGAGACTGCCTTTCTTGCCTTTCCCGATGTCCCAATCGACGTGAGTTACCCAACACCCGTGCGTGCTTAGTCATCAACCGTTGTTCGAGTGGGAAACCTGTGGAGAAGGCGCACGTTCAATTAACGGTTGAAGAGAGTGTTCTTGGTAGGACCTGGGGGGAGTTCGGACAGCATCAACATATGGCAGCAGAATGCTTTGTTACTGAACTATGGTACAAATATCTTCATGAGAGGAAGCTGTATGTTTGCCTACATACCTTGGGTACATCTGAAATCGAACACGTCATGAGGTCACCATCTGTCGTCGCTTATATTTAGATTGTTCTAACCAATAACTCATGTCAAGGGAGTCCCTTCTCATCGACAGTATACCTGGGAGAGGTTTGCGGACGGCATTCGCTGAACAACGCAGCGCTTACTGATGACGGGGCAACGGGGTTTCACAGCATCAATTGGGGCCAAGCTTTGATATCGAAGTTGCTTGACGCACCGGCAGACCCTCAAGCACACATCTTCGTTTTTTGTTTGTAAGGAATGGCTGTTCGAGCCGGAAGAACACGTCAAGGGCAGCCCCTTCACGGTGACAGTTGCGCCGGGGGAAGCCTTCGGCCGGCGCAGCGACGCATGGGGGGACGCCCTGGGGAGCAGCAGCAATGCCAATAATGGGTCCCTGGAGGCGGGTGTGACGGCCTCGTTGGGTGTCCGGGCGAGGGATGTCGTCGGGAACGCGGTGGGGGAGGGCGGCGACGAGCTGGCGGTGTATGCTTTCCACCGCGAAGTCGAGGTACGGGTTTGTCTTTGACGGGCTGATGGTCATCCTGTTGATTCATAATATGACGTTGTGGATGGTGTGGGTTTCGGTCGATCGTTGATGGTCATTTATCAATCGAGAACAAGATGGCGGTGGGTTACAGGGAGACGGGTTGTGTTCATTTTGTCCGTGGCAGCGATGTTCTTGGCCCGCCACTGGGTAGTGGGTTCTGGCCAACCAAAACGTGTATTCGATCGCAGCGTTTGCCATGCCTCCCTCCAAACTGTCTGACCTCTCTCGGCGTGGGAACGGTTGGCTGGTTTTACCAGAAGATCTTCAAAGGGAATCCACGTAGAATGTTCCCTCAAAGCTTTGTCAATGGCCTTAGTGGAGTTAGGTTGACATGATGAAGTGGTCGTCTTGTCCCTGGTACTCGATCGGGCCGCGCTCAGCGGTCTAGACGCGAAGTGTACACGCCGGTGCCCCCCCTCAACTGCTCTATGCCTCAACTGACAAGAGAGGGTCCGCTTCATCAACAGCAACGTGTTCATTATCCTACGTGACGCCCATCAAATTGTCTCTTCCTGCGCACCTCGACCTGGCATCGCTTTCTGCGAAAAGGCGTTCACGAAGGGAACCGTTGATGACCTTGGAAACGGTAGCTACGATGTGTGGATTACGCCCACCGTGGCCGGGCCATACTTTATCTCCTTGGCTCTCGAAGACCAGGCAAGTCTTAGTCCTAGTAGTGTTTGGTTTTGCAATTTGAAAACCTATAAAGGGTGATCGTTGAGCGGTTAACCCAGCAACCGGTTGAGTCGAGCCCATACCGATTTTGCCGTCCACTGGGAAAAGCGATCGGCCTACCGTAGTCAATTGCGTGCGGAGTTTCGTTGAGGGTAGCAGCACCGGAAACAAGCAAGCCCGCTGGTGTTGTGACGGTTGCTGGACAAGAAACAGCGGCTGAAATGGCGTCAACCACGGCATAACACCAAATCATGTCGTCAGAAACTGTAGTGTGGCGAAAAACTAACAATACTATATACGCACCATCTAGGGGATGCGCCGTGTGACCATCTCTCTCGTTGGAATTCTTGTTCCCGGTCACCCCAGGAGGTGGCAGACAGCCCGTACTCGGTTGTAGTGACACCCGGCGATGCCTACGGGCCGTCTTCGTCGGCGTATGGCGGAGGTATTTCGACGGCCGTGGCTACCCTCGAGAATGTCGTTTACGTCCAGGCAAGTTAGAAAGGAGCGTCACCCCTTTGCAACTTGACGAACGTCATGTGTCAGCTGTTGGTATGTACTGAATGGGATGCTCACATTAAGGATGACCACACGGTGTCACGTACCCGCGGACGTGTTCCTTTCGGTTCTCTGTCAGGAATTCTTTCAAAATATTATTCAAGTTTGAGCAATAGTCACCAAGTTAGTCTACCCCCCCATTGGCCCGTCACGTTCTGCATCGCATAGTGCATCGTTCCTCGCTGCTCCAATCCTTTGAGTTGTTTTCAGAAAGGTTTCACATCAAAGGCGACACTCTTTCGCGACACTCATGCTGTGCCCTGGGACGAGCATTGTGATGGGCGATCATCCTCCGTTCTGTAAATCACAGTTGGTTCCACACCATGCACCCTCTCGTCAACACTCGGGCATATACTTTCGGTCTTTCTTGTTTTGCCACCGATTCCTGGCCATGACGGCAGAAGTCAGACGTTGAATAACCGCTGGTAAGCGCTGTTCACATAAACAAACGATCGATCCGCCTCAGGCAAGAGACAGGTGGGGCAACAACCTGTGGGGCAGCGGTTTCAATGTGACGGCAGAGCTATACCTCGGCGACAACGCGGCGGCGGCGACAAATCAAGGACGAAACAGTACCGACCCAGCTGCGAGCAACGAGACCAGCAGCAACACTTGGAGTTCCTATTCGGGGGAAGACGGGGAGAAGCCTTTGGTGACGTTCTTCGGGAACGGTTCCGGGATAGCGCTGGTCACGTACGTCCCTCGAGAGGCCGGTACAAGCTTCCTGTACGGTGAGGACAAGGCTCTGTCGTATGCACTGTCTGAGTCAAACCGCCACCGAGGGAGGTGCTTCTCGCGTTCTCATTCGTTAGTTCTTTGTGCTCGTTGTCGGAAGGGTCGTGTAGAAACAGTGCACTGGTCACGAGTGTATGCGCTTCAAGCTTTCCCCTTGCAATAATGATGAGAAACGCATAGCACGAGCTATGTAGGGGCTGAAGTACCCATTGCAGTCGTACCGGGTTGATGGGTTGTCTGATCGTTACCGAGCACCTCCTCCTCCTCCTCCGCACTGGTCCAAGCGGTACAGGAATATACTTTCTCCGTGGTCACAGGCTTCTCAGTAGTACGACGCAGACAGAGATACTGATCCAGGATGTTATTCTTGAGAAACAAGAGTGTTCCTGAAGTACCCAAATCCACGGACACGAGTAACGCTCATCATTCGTCTGTTTTCACACTCGGAAGAGTGTGTAGGTGGCGGAGGCGTGATAGCTGTGAACGACCGAATTGAAGTTGCGTGAGTCGCCCCAGTCTTGCGTTGGCTCACAGACACATCCTATTTCTCTCCATCCAGTAGATTGAAGAGGGGGCCAGGCTCGGCGATTCTCCGGCTGTGGTTTTCCTTCAAGAGCCCGCCATATTCGTCAGAATCGAAAAGAAACCCTCGCGGTTAAGGTTATGACTTCGAATGGGCACGACGTAGGGCCTACTTGCAAGTATTGCTACGTATGTAAATACACTGGGAATAAATGGAGGGCACAGCTTTATTTGCACTGTGCGTGCATGGTGTCATATTGCAACAATATATCTTGCTCATGCTACTACATCGGTCATCTTTGACCCATCTGCATGTTGAAACTATCTGCCATCAGTTCTGTCCAAAAATGTTCTCTGGAATCATAATCAATACGATAGCAAAATGTTTTTCTCGCCGTCGTCCATCTCGTTGTCGATCTTGTTTTCCACCAGTCCACGTGAACGATCTCCAGGTGGCCGGTAGCCCCTTCGAGGTGAACGTTTCGGCAGGGCCGGCGCGTGGCGCAAACGCTACCGCTTCGGGCTCCGCCCTCGCCCTTGCTACCGCCGGAAAGAACGCCTCCTTCATTATCCAGGCCAGAGATGGCGGAGCCAACCCTGCCGCCGAAGAGAGTGAAATACACGCAGACGAGGAGGGGGTGGGAGGGACGGCAGGAACGACATCCTCCGTGTTTAACGTTACGCTAACGAGGATCGATGGGGTGGGGTTGGACGGAGATCAGGAGGATAGCGTTAACTCGACCGTCGTCTACGCCGCGGTGGAGGATATAGGTGAACATGTGTAGATTCAGAATACGCAGAGGAAATCGAACCTTGAAATGAGGAATAGAAGAGACGTTCAACACGCATTGGCAAGCGAAAAGGGTTGTATTTAGATATCATACAAACTGTGGGACAACCAACAACTTGTGAACACAGACTCTTGATCTTATTGATCTTATTCACAAGCAGGGGATGGCAAGCACGAGGCCGTCTACAACGCCACAAAGACCGGCAATTACTCCCTCGAGGTCGTTGACGCGTCCGACGGGGAGCACGCCGTGGGGTCTCCGTTCCAGGTTGTGGTAGAGCCCAACCAGGCCTTCGCGCCAGCGACGTTGGTGTGGTGGGAAAGGCAGGTGGGCATCGTAAGGAAACCGAGGGCTACGCGAAGTGCTGTCGCCACGTAAGCCATCGTCGACGTATCGTACTTCCACTGGGCGATCTCTCGTCCAAAGCTTTAAATTTAGTGCAGCTCCGCAGGTTGGTAAACAGCTAGAAGTGATCTACGTGCCCACCTTGCTCCTCGTCTCTGCGCTTCACTCTCTAGCCCTCTTGAATGACGCTCTGTGTGAAAACACCTAGGTCATCAGAGTGTCAACAGAGTGTCGATCGGGCTCTCTCGGGCTCCCGTTCGGGAGTCTCGTACTTCAGTGACACGTTTTATCAAACCCCAATATCGCCATGGTAATTCCAAGGTTCTACAATGAAAGGGGTTTTTTTCTACTCCTTCAAACCTGCCCTTGTCCACCCAAACACAGGCACAAACTCCACTAAACGTTCACAAAACCACGCATCGGCTTCTTTGTGTTTTGAGAACAGGTGTGTGGATCGAACGTCATTCACCTCCAAGCGGTGGACTTTTGGCACAACAACATCACGCAGGGCGGGGAAGCTTTCGTGGCACGCTGGAAGCCCCGAGAGAACCAGGTTGAAACCGTCGCCACCGCCTACGAAATCGTCGCAGCAGATGACGACCGTGCTGATGCAGCTTCGGAAACAACCGAAGAAGGAGACTTTTGGACAAGCGAGGACGGTTGGGACGACACGGCTTCGATTGCCGCCGGCTTCTTCTTTCCGGCGCCTACAACCACCAACACCACCAACGCGAGCGACAACAGCGGCTCCCAATACGCATCTAGTGGTGGTGACACTGGCGCATATGTAACCGACGTCGGCGGGGGGCGGTACGAAGTCACTACGGCTGCCGTCGCGGGCTCGTATTGGCTCGAGATCGGGGTGGTGGAACCCGGCGGCCTCTGGGGAACGTACTACGAACACGGCGGCGTTGAAACGGAAGGTGCGAAACAGAAAGTGTACGTGACACCGGACGGCGTTTGTGGTTTTCTACTGGTGGTGTATTTCTGTAGATATCCCTCCAAGAGTGCTTCTACTTCATCGGGTGCTCACGTCTCTTTCCCTACCTCTCAATGTTATTTGCTGTTATTTATTTCTCGTTTTCTCTCTCTCTCTGTCTCTCTGTTTCTCTCTCTCTCTCTCTCTCTCTCTCTCTCTCTCTCTCTCTCTCTCTCTCTCTCTCTCTCTCTGTGTGTATCTCTCTGGCTCCCTCCCGCCCCCCTCCTCACCCGGACCACTTTCATCTCCAATATATATCAGTGACCTCCTGGACCCCAGAGGTCAACTGGAGGACTAAAGGCGCGGTAAACTTCGACTGGGGGCTACTCTCGCCCCAGGCTGGGGTCGACCGTTTCGGAACATCACCGTCGTCCCTTCCCTCCGGCAACCCTAGCACCAGCAACTACACTGCTTCAGAAGCATCATCATCGTCTACATCATCTGCGGAGTTTGCACCGGAGAACGTTGCTGTGAACGGATCTTCGTATTTCTTCTTCCCGGCAGATTATTTTTCAGCCCGCTTCACCGGGTTCGGTGAGCAAGGGGTAGAGGAAGAGAGAAAGAGATGCATCGGGTGACAGCTAGAGCGAGAGAGAGCTAGAGAGAAGGACTTTTTCCTTGCCTTGCTCTATGGATTTCGCCGGGTTGCAACATTTCAATTTCCTTACGAAAACCATCGCAATCCATTCGACAAATGTCCATCCCACCAACGAACTCCACCTCTAACAGTCAAGGCCGACCTCGAAGGCGAGTACCGGTTCCGGGTCGCCACCGACAGAAGTTCGAGGGTCGCTCTGTCCGTATCCGGAGTCGAGTTGTTCGACGATCTCCTTCCAACATCCGAAACAACTGGGGGATCCGCGGCCGACATGACAAGCGACGAGGCTTCTGCTGGAACCGCTATGCTATCTAAGGGAAGAACGGGGAGCCTGTTGCTAGCAGCGGGCGAAATGGTCCCGCTGCAGCTCCGATACGCGGTGAGGGCACATTTGTTGTCACTACCGCAGTGCCGTTCACATATGCATTTTTTGAGATCCTCAATATGGTGGCATCAATTCCAATATTGGCGGAAAGCCCTGGAAAGAATATAAAAGAACGACATAATTGAGGACAACACATATGCCAGACAAAAGTATGCAAGAACCCCCGGCGCTTCCCTCCTTCTCCTCCTCCCCGGCCGATACCCCCCTTCCCGCCGCCGCCGTCCCACCACCCCGTCCCCCCATCCGTCCCTTATGCTGAACGCAGCACGCAACGGGTGAGGCGTGGGTCCGACTGGAATGGACCGCCTCCCGAACAAAAGCCACGGAAGGCCTCTCCGTTGTCCCATCGACCAGCCTGTTCCACCACCGACTGGGCTGGAAGGTTGCCGTCGATTTACACCCGGCTCCGACGGCGGCGGGGGCGTCAACCGTAGCACTGTGGCCCCCGGCCCCCATCTCAGACACCGACATCGGGGAAGATGAGGGCGATGGCGGAGACGAGGAACTCGACGAAGAAGAGGAGAGTGAAGTTGGGGCAGGAGGGGGATTACACGCAGGGGAAGGGAATGATGGGACGGCCGGGTGGATGGCGGGGACGGGGCTGAAGCAGGTTACCGCCGGAAAGATGATGGAGATCGTGGTGCAGGCTAGGGACGACCACGGCAACCACCGCGGTGTTGGTGAGTGGTTTACACGCGGGAGCGTTCGGGAGGGGGTTCTGGGAAGGGTCCAACAACATCGCGCGCAATCGATGATGGGCTATTCGTCACGCGATGCCACACCCATGTCAACCCCCCCTTGCCACTCTTTCCTCGTCCCATCAGGCGGAGACAGCGTCCAAATGTACGCGCGAGGCCCCGGGGGGGTTATGCTTCACGGTGGTGCCGTGGACACCGGGGATGGCAACTACACGGTGTCCGCCTGGCCGGTCATGGCGGGGGCTTACCACATGAGTGTCCTGGTTAGCTCGCTCGAGCCGTCGCGTTGGGCCCTGGGCTACAGGCAAGAACATCTAGTTATTGTCACCAGGAAGAATCGCAACAACAAGCGTGGCAACAGTTGTGCTTGTTCACGACACCATCCGCAGAAAAACGCTCTGCCTTTGAACAGGATGAAGCCCTTCTCTCTGTTCGTCACGGCAACACGCGGAAGTTCAAAATCGGTCAAAAAGCTACCTGTTGTTGACCTAGAAGGGAGGGGTTCGTATGGCATCTAGCTTGGTCTATCCCTTCACCAATCCGAACAGCCTTAGGACACTGCGTAGAGCTAATCTGTGTCACATTGGTTCCCTCGGGCATGAGGTTGACATTAACACTCTTCCCTACAGACAGCACCTGTAGGACTGACTTTACGCCCCGCCGGAAAATGACCTGCCTCGAACCCTTTCAAGCGCACAAATCAGAAGAAAACATATGCGCGAATGAGGAGGACTTCAAGTATTTTCGAAAAGATGACGGAGGGATTGCAAACCCCCAAGGTCTCAGATGACAGTCGCATGCACCTGTGACGAGTTCGGGTTACGATTCTCAAATACCCCGTCGTAGATAAAATCATGCGAGGTATTGATGGCGTCGCAACACCCCGAAACCATTGCACAAGAAAGCGCACCACGCTCGGAACAAACAACCGGGCGAAATGCGTCGTTGCCAACCTTGGGAACCCCATGTCTGGAGATGCGATCGACGGGCAACTCTTTTTAAGTAATGAAACCCTTGATGCAACCCTCGAACCCGACCTTTCTTGTTTATTCTGGACATGATCAGGAGCGTCGAGCAAGCGATGGCCGGGGCGCACGTGTCCGGCAGTCCGTTCCGGTTGTTGGTGGTGGAGGGAGCCGTGGCCGCCAACGCCTCCTTGGCGTTCGGGGTAGGGATCGATTCGCCCCTCGCCGGAGGCGTGTTCGGCACGTCCGCGTTTACGATCAGGCAAGGGAGACCACCCCCTGCAAAAAGGGTCAAGACATCTTCAACAACAGCACTAGACCTAAGGATTACCACCAAAGTTAGGGGTGGCCTTTTGCGTTTCCTCCGTTCTCCTCACCCCCCACGACACATACGGGAAACACTTGAAAGCACCACAGCACTAGCAACATCTCTACGATGAATAGGAACGGCTCCGTCTCAACAGGGACGTGGGATCAGTGGTCAAATAGCCTAGGCAAGCATCAAACAAATTGTCCCTTCCAACACACCACGGTCATGAACAGAGCGAGGGATTCGATGGGGAACCGGGTGTCCTCCGGAAGCACGGGCGACTTTAACGTGGAGCTATTCCTGGCGGACGAAGCTACGGTGACGATGGGAGATGGCGTCGATCCATCCCCGGTTTCTGTCGGGAACGCCGTGTACACGGCCGGGGGGGAGTACGCGGCAACATATAACGTTACTGTGGCGGGGGACTACGCTCTGCACGTGGGTAACTTGGCAACATCAGTTTGAACAATCACTGAAGAAGCACAGACCCACCTATCGCTCGGAAGTAGCGGATCTTTCGAAGCGTCTGGATTCTCTCGCAACGGTGTCTGTGCTTGCGTAGAAGGCACGCGAAAAACAAACAAAACGATTTTCCACTCTCCAATGTTCCGACCAAACCTTCAAAAACATCACCGCAGTTGCCGAGTCATACTCCCCCTCCCCCACGGCCCATCTCAAGTAAGGTCGCGCGTGTTCGACCATTGAAGTACGCAGCCAAGTATTTACACTACGCCCTTCCCAACGCGTTACGCCCTTGATCAGGTGACGCAATCGTTGACGGGAGGGCACATTGCGGGAAGCCCATTCTCCCTGCACGTCTCGCCAGGTCCTTCCTACGCCGCAACATCGGTGTGCGACGACTGCGAGGCAATTTTCTCCGCCGAGGGCAATTTCTCGGTAAATTCTACAAAGCTGGTTCTCTTCTCCGCTAGGTGAGTGGCGGTTAGAGCTAGAGGTCCAGGCGGGCATGTTCGGTTTCCCTTGCTCCACCCCACTTTGGACGCTCCGAGTAACGTTGGAGCCGTTTTTTGTTTTTTTTTTCAGTGGTTTTCCGAGCGAGGGTGCTCTGCATCTTTGTAGAGATGAAGAAGGCAGACAGCTTCGATGTAAACAACTCTATTTTCCGAAACCCGTTACATGTTTGCCTCCGCTCGACCTCATCGTGTCGATAGAAACGCTTTACTTGCCTTCGCAACGTAGTTCTGTTTTGTCCCGTGAAGCACCTCGAGCCGTATGCCTCGAACCCAACGACAAACGCCAAGGCGAAGTGCCAACAGCGCGAACCTGACATAGCAGGCTACGAAGGAGCAACGCTGGACCTCACAGGGTATTGATTCCTCGACCACGAAATGTTTTCGTAAGTCGGGCCAGGTCGATTGGGTCGGCACATCTTAGGGTAGGCTGCTCGAGTTGGGTTGCTCCCGGAAACGACAACTTCCTAAGGTAATTCTGGCTCATCTCCTCCCTTCTCGTCCCTCTTGTCATTGGTATCAGGGACGCCTTCGGCAACACCCTGGAGACAGGCGGAGATGAGTGGTTCGTACGATTGAGAGGGGCGGAGGAAGGGGTTTCTGATGCAGAGGTGCGACATCCGGTGGTCGCCGATCAAGGAAGTGGCTCCTACAGCGTCGCGATCAAGCCAGGTATGTTATTCCTGGTGAAACTATTGCTGGTGCCGATAGTCTTGTTGTTGTGATTCATATGTTTGGCGTTCTTGATGTCGTTCATCCTTCCAAACATTGACGTAGTCTGAGCTCTCCAGCACCTCCAAATGCCGCTTTGATATAGCACCGTGGCAGCCGAACGTTCGTGTTCACATGTTGAAGCTACAACACCCAGGAACACCACTACTTCGTACTGCGGGGAGAGGGCATCTACTTGAATAACCACAGGTCGAAACGCATTTCATTAAAATGTGGTTCGAACAATTCTTCTCTGGTGTTTTTCCAGACAGTCTCAAGCAGCGCACAAACGTTGTGGCCACCCCGTCGCTGCGCGTTTTTCTTTTGTCCCCCCGCAACAACTTTCGATTCGATACAACAGGCGTTACTGGTCTCTACGAAGCTCAAGTGCTGCTGCTGTCAAAAGTATCAACAGAGGACTTTTTAGCCGACTTGGGCGGGAGATCCAGAGGTGGAGGGCTAACCGCCCAGTACTACACTAACGCCCGCTTGGCTGGGAGGCCACTTGTCACAAGGGTGTGTGTTGCTGTGGATTAATCAACTTCTTCCTTCCTGCGCATGTAGATGATGCCATTAGAGGTACTCCCACCTTCCATCATCGCTCACATGCCCTCCTCCTCATTAAAATTAAAAAATCATACATATTCCCAATATATGCAATGATCTTTCCTCCCTCCCCTATGCCTTCTTGAATTCCTGCGCTACTTTGTGACCGAAAGATTGACCCTTCGATCCAGCTAGACTGGGGGTCGGGGGTTCCGCCAGGCGTCTCGAGAGTGGGATCTACGGGGGGCACGGTTGGGATTCGGTGGGACGGGTTCTTAAAGGCACAAGTCTCGGGGGAGTTCACGTTTACGATCAGCACGGGGGCCGGGGACGAGTCAAGGTGAAAACTCCGTTGGAGATGAGAGGTCTTCTCATTGAAAAGCCACGAGTCACGGATGTTGTGTTGACCACCATGCTTGCAAATGCCGCGTGTCCTACTGTCTTCACAAGTTGTTGGCCAGTAGTTATTGTTTCGTCCGTTTCTAGGGGGAGTTCGTCTTCATGCCCGGCCGGGCGGCCAGGTAAGGAGTTCGGAGGGAAAGACTCTCAGTCACCACCTTTCGTCTGCTTCAAATATCATATGTTTTAACGCAAGCTAGTCTACTGAGCACACGTCCAGCCAGCCTGCCCCATCTTGACCTCTCGGACGAGGGGAGTATGAGGGTGCGCCTCAGTGTTATCGCCGTGTCACTACCAAGACAACAAGCGCAACATCGCAAACCAACAAATTGGGAGAACTGCATGACCATCGGCAAAAAACAACGGCAGTAGAACGCGCACGAATGCGTACTGCTACTACATACAGTATCGACTAATGAGCAGATCCGTGCAGTTATCGGAACCGGAACCACGTAATGGTCAGGGAAAGATGCTAACAGAGTGGCCAACTGACAGGTGCCTGGTTCGGACATTTGACAGGCACGCGTGTTCGTTCTTATGCTATTGGCATGGCAGATGTCGGATCCACAATCAAGCGCTGTTCTTGTCTTGATAATAGTTTCAAAACAGGTTCATGTCCCTTGTTGGACCTGGCTCCGGTCTCCGCCCCCCACCCCTGTCCTGCCAACGTCATATGCCTCCTCGGTGGCCATAGAAAGTACAATATCTCCAAAACCGCCAATCTTTTCACGCACACCTCCAAACTTCTGGATTTGGAACAAGCTCGTGGCCGACGAACAGAGCACTCCGCTGGTTATTGGCCGGCCTAGATCTCTCTTCAACCAGAAACGCTCATTGAAAGGACGCACCCATCCTCTTTACCGCTACACTTGCACACCACCCCCGTTCCCCTCCAATTCAACCCAGGCTCTGGATTCGAGACGAGCTCGCTATCGACACATTTTCAACGTCCCCTTCCGACCTCGTCCGGTCGACGTCCCCCGTCCCTGACGTCACCGTGGCCTCGCAAAACGCTACCTTGCTAACAGCCGGAGAGGTGGTCAGGCTGCGCGCGGAATACGTCCACCACGGCGGCGGTGGGATCGTCCGGGCTGTGCGAGTCGTTGTGGGCTGGGAAAGCCCCGGAACGCTACAGCCCGCGCAAGCTTTGCCGTCGTTTGCGCTGTTTCCGTCGGCGGGAGAAATTGCCGGAAGTCCGTTTGCTTTTAGTGTCGTTTGACTCATCGTCTGCGAGGAGATTCTTTGGGAAGGTTCATTTTTCTGGTTGACTTTCACGCAAGGTGCTTTTCTTTTCGAGAGGGACCTTGCAAGTACTACTTCAAGTATTTTTGTATCCGAATCAATGTTGCTTTGTATCGCTGTGTCGGTGGATCGGGTCATGCGCAAAGTGCGCTTGGAAGCCCGATGCGCTCATGCCTACATCTTCCTTCTGACGGGTTGACTCGGATCCGTGCTGCTGAGGGACCAAAATGAGAGAAATAACATCGTCTCGATGACAAGAACAATCTAACCTTGGATTGTGCCCTCTCTCAAAAAGAACTGATAACCACGCACCCACAGCAGCACCTCTCATGACAGCCCCGTTATATTGTAGCAGTTGATTTGGTGCCACTTTCATACAGGAAGCACGATTTTCCTGGGTCGATTGCGTCGTCCTTCCCCCATCCACCCATTGGAGCAGCACCTCCAATCCAACGACCGATACGTCTGAGTGACACCCCCTCAGGTCCGGCAATAAACTACATTTACGTGCACCGTCTACGACACCTTCGACGTTAAGGTTGTCCCCCCCCCCCGATGTCTAACCACCCCCTCCGCACGACTACATACACAGGGAAGCAAGTCACTATGCACTCCCGTGCTGTGGAAAACAACTGATATTTATCCCCCTCCCAAAGGCTTCCCGGCTCTTCTCACTCTCAGAGCTACCTATACCCATGCTGACCCAACAGAACAGGGCAGAGGTAAATATCAGTACAAGGTGCTATCGTGAAGATTCAGGGCCTCTTGCCGCCCGTCCAATCCCCATACATTCGTTTTCGCCTTTCGCATTAGTACGACTCTCCTTCACACGGCGGATCGAGCCCGCGGTATTGCACCATACACCCAACCCTTACAATGTTGAGGAAATTGTGCAACCCGCTTTTCTGATTAAGTGCCGTCGATCGAATTTATCTTGATATCCTACTCAAAGCTGACGATCTCCGCGGCCGTCGATTGCTTTACTCTACGAGATGTTTTTCTTACCCCCTTTGTTCCGGGATAGGTTCTACGGTTTTCACACAGACAAACGGAAAAATGAAAAAACTCACTCGAAGAGAATATACTATTCATGCAATATTTCCCTCGGTCTCAAAGAATTTCCTCAAGAAACGTACACAAGCTCGCAACGTAATATTCTTGGTAGTTGGCATACCCGTTGTTCCCGCACGCTATTCTGCAACTGACTCGGGCTGCCAGCAGCTTCTTCCAGCGCCGCCAGACAGATACGGCTTACACGTTGCCCTTCTTCTTTTTAGTATCCCTCGTATTTTGCTTGGCTATTTACTTATTGTCCTGCGTTTTAGGGGGTTCCGAGACGTCAAACTCACACTGACACCAAGGCAAACCTGCAAAAAAGAAAAGCATTGCACGTCACATCTGCAAGCAACAACAAGACACACCAGCCGAAAAAACCAAACAGGGTAACCAACACATCAATTAGATCACTGGGTCAAAACTAATCTATCTTTGGCGGGTGACTGTTAAGAGGTAAGGGTTACGAAAAGGAAGCGACTCTCTAGCAGGAGAAGTTGTCGCGTTGTGCGTGACACACCTGGTGCCGCGACCATCCATTGCCGCTGCTGCTGATATCCTGTACATATGGTACATGAGCCATCCCCCTTCCAGACAAAATCAATGAACTTCGTCACACGCGGGATACCAGTTCGAAAACGCCGCACTGGGAACTCAAAACACTTGGAAACTTGGAACGCCGCAAAAGCGAACTAAACTGTATCTCTCTCTCCCACGACACACAAGACAAGGGAGGGACGCACCTTCCCGACAAGGAAATCACGGGGGCGGGGGCGCTTTATCACAGCACTCTTCGTACTCTTTTTTTAGCTATTGATGTTTCCCGTCGTCACTCGTAGTAATGTTCGGTCTACGCCTAAAGGATTCCCCGCCCGCAAGGTAGATATAGCACATCAGGATGTCGCATCGACCACTAGCCTATGAACAACACTTTTCCTTTCTCTGCATCGTGGGCCTCCCTACCACCGCCCGCCCCACACCCCATTGCAAGAACGGAAATGAACCCCAACGTTCTCGTTCCTACGTGGATTCATTACAGCGGAGCACAAATGGTCCTTTGACCAAGGATTGCTATACTCCCATCGACCGAAAACCTGTAGCACTTCGTGCAGGTAGTATACATTTCCCCGTTATTTGTAATCCTATGGTTGCCGCGCGTCGAGGAGTAGAATTTTCTTCCACTTCTTCTACGCTCAAGCACGACCGCATGCCCTCTGACAAGGTTGTCAATACAGTCTCCCCCCCAACGACGCAACACGTGCTTCGCGCATTTGTGGGTTTAGTCAACAAGCCGCACAGCCTCATACCGCCTCGGTTCGTCGGACGGCGCTGGGATTATCCCCTAGGCTACTGGTTTAAGTGGGTGGTCTATCTGCCTGCTGCCCTCGTCGACCGGACGCTTAAACCGACCATCTTCCCGTACAGCATACTGATGAGTCATCTTACACAAGGTGCTTCAATCACGGCTGGGCCGGCAAGGGAGGGGTGGTGCCGCCTGTTTCGTAGAAGTCGGCCAAAGTGTCGGGGGTGATCGACTTTTTATGCTCATCAAGCGAAGTGCTGATGTCGCCGCCGGCACCACCGCCGCCACCGCCGCCTTCTTCGCCGGACATGAGGCGCACGGGGCTACCCCCCCCTCCTCCTTCACTCTCTCCTGGTGCTGCCGCCGATGCCTCCCCTCCCCCTTCTCCTGCTATCGCAGCGTGTATCGGAGGTTTGTCCAGTGAAGCGGCCCCCTCTCCCACACTCTTGGCGTTGCTGTCCTTGCAGGTTGACAGTTTGCCAACGGCGTTGCTGCCGATATCGCCAAGGATAGCGTCGACGCTAAGAATGTTCCCGCAGATGTCTTCTCTCCCTTCCTCGTTCATGAAGTCCTCCGCGGAGGCGACGATGTCGTGACCAAGGTCGCTGCCGCACTGGCCGATGCTGCCCTCCTCGCCACCACTGCCGCCGCCTCCGCCTCCGCCGCCGCTAAAGCGCTGGCGCGGCATTGAGGATGACGAAGACGTCCGGCAAAGCGACGTCGAATAGGTCGTGAAGGATGCCAAGCGGCGCGGCCTAGATGTCGCAGAGCTGAAGGAGCGCTTCTTGCCGGTGCTGCTGCCGCTGCCGGTGCCGCTACCGCCGGCTGCGGCGGCAGGGAACGTGATGTTGCCGAGGCTGTTCCCTCCTACACCTCCGCCTCCTCCATCCTCGTCGGTGTCGGTGGTGATAGGGCCGGTGATGAAGCTCCCCAACCCTTTGACACTCTTTACCCCTCCTCCTCCACCGTCCAGCCCGACCATGTCTAGGTTGAAGCTACCCATGGAGGAACTGAGGTCCATGATGCCCTCGCTGGGCACACGGCCCAGGTTCAGGTCATCCGCTAGCGCCCCGCCTGCGCCCCCGTCGTCGGGGAAGGACGGCAGGGACAGCCGACTGAGACTCATGTTGTGCAGGTCTCTCGTGAGTCCAAGACTTCCGCCTTCGAAGTCCTCGTCTCCGTCCGTGCCGCCGCCTAGACTCTTTCCGGGCCCTGTGCCCCGGATTCCGAGAGCACGTTGGCCGAAAGCTTTGCTGCTGTCGTAGTGGCCAAGGGCATCCACTGTGCCGCCGGACCCGGAGTGCCTCGGTGGGAGGAGAGGCATGTGGCCGTGCCCTTCGCCATCGCCACCTTCTTGTGCAAAGCAAAAGCTGCCGGCGGACGGGTCGAACGGATCGCCGCCGCCTTGGCCAGGCATCATCCGTCTGCGCTTGTAAGCGGCAGAATCCACGCAATCCCCTTCCAAAACCATGTCCTCCGCAACCGTGGTAGCGATGCCGGCTCTTCCATCCGTCGCCCCCGCTCCACGGCCGCCAAACCCGCCGTCGATGAACGGCATCATGCCGACGTCACCGCTGCCGTCAATGCCTACGGCGGCGAAGTTGCCCTGCAAGTCGGACGGCAACCTCCTCACGGTTTTACCCGCGGGCCCGTACCCATAGCGGTGATCCCCAGAGAGTTGAGCCGCCGCCGTCTCGTGAGACAGCTGCCGGTGTGGCGATGTAAGGACTAACGCCGGCATCATGGGCGTGGATGGGTGGAGACGCCCAGGTTGCTGTAGCTGTTGCTCTTGCTCCTGCTCCTCCCCCTTCTGCTGCTCATCCGAGTAGAACGGCTGCGCGCCGAAGTTCGTTCTGCTCGCGATCTCGCACATGATGTTGCAGATGTTGCTGCTGCTGTTGCACTCGTGGACGACGTAGGCCTGGGGGTCGCTCCCGGGCTCGGGGAGGCAGAAGGTCCAGCGCGCCTCCGCAGGGACGTCGGTGGCAAGCTCGACGGCCGACCGGAGCCGCTGGTAGGTGGCTCCCTGCCCGAGGAGGAAAGACAGCGCCGAGGCGATCAGGAGCGCGTCCCAGCTCAGCGGGAGAGCGCGCACGACGGAGGGATTTCCCCCGCTGCCGACGTCGACGAGGGAAGGGATGGTGTCGAGGACGTCGGTGGCGGCGTCTCGTTGGCCCAGCATAGCGAGCAGCAGAGCACGCAGGGATGTGCACAGCAAGAGCGTCAGCTCGACGGATGTCTGCGGGGGGTGACGGGCACGCGAGCGTGGTGGCGGGAGATGTCAGGTGGAGTCGTTCAAGGGGACGTTTCTCCCTGGAAATGAATTGTGTTGTGTTTCGTTAGAGGTGATAGCTGCTGGAAGCGACGGTAGGCCAGAAGTAGAGAACGTTTTCCCCTGGAAATGAATTGTGTTGTGTTGGAGGAGATAGATGCTGGAGGCGACGGCAGGCCAGAAGTAGAGAATTTTTTCCCCTGGAAATGAATTGTGTTGTGTTAGAGGAGATAGATGCTGGAGGCGACGGCAGGCCAGAAGTAGAGAACGACCACCACCCAACACCGCTACCATCAACAACCACAGCAACAACAACAGCAACGACAACAGCAAAGTAGCATACCTCGTTGCGCAAGCCGAGAATGCAGATGCTGAGCTCTTCGCAGGACCCGATCGCTGCCGCGCGCCCCACGGCTGGGTTAACGATCGCCGGCATGTTTGCTAGGAGGCAAGAGATGGAGTGCAAGGCCCTATGGCTCGACGGCATCAGCTCGACCCCTGGCCTCGGGTGGGCTTCGCGGGCGTAGTCCAGGTACTCGATGGACAGGACAAGGTTAGCGGGGATGCTCTGCGATGGCCCAGCATTTGTCACGACAAGAAGAGCAGGGTATTCGTATCAGTTTAATGTACTGCAATTGAGAGCCTCGAAAAAATATACAGTAGGTGCTTGGCTGCGTCGACGCGTACGGTTGCTCGATAGACAAGGGGTCAGATCAGCAGGAGCCTACATCGACGGAACCTACATCGTGCGACGTAACGGAGCATCGGGGCAACGGACTAAACACAAATCGGCAATATTGCCCCGTCAAACGAGGTGAAAGATGGCTATCGATGGGCTTAGGGTGCAGGACGAAAAACGGCTTTTGAGCGAATACCGACCAATAGCAATACAAGAGTGGGTTGCTGGACGAGGTTTCGTCGGTCTTGGAGGTATTACTCGACCACCGATGGCGGCCATAACTTCTCCGACACTTGATTCCATCCACATCCAAATCAGAGCTCTACAACAGTTTGATGTTGCTCAGGGTTCAAGGCCACGCAACGAACATGCACACTCACGTCGCCAAACCAGCACAGCGACGAACGCCCTAGAATCCGCTCACCTGGACGTTCGCCAAGACACGGCGGGCGTGGCCGACCCATTCAATCTTGAGCTCGTCTTCGCCCCGGTGCTGCCAGTAGAGCGCCACCAGCGCGAGGGACGGCACGACTCCCACCCCTGTCAGGCCGTTGACATCGCCGAGGTGGTACCGCAGAGAGAGGTAGTACGCGTGCGCTGCCTCCTGGTCTCCGCTTATCAAGGCCCCCAGAGAAATCGCTCCGACCACCTTTTGTGGAACCAGTTCGAGGGGGGGGCGGGGGGCGGACAGCAGGCGTGGAGGTTTAAGGATCCAAAGTACGATATGGAATGAGAGTTTCACAAAACTTTTGCTGGTACTGTAGTCGCTGTCGCTGCTTTTGGCTGTAATAGTGGCAACGCCGACTTGGCTAAATTCCCAACTAAAGCCCGACCTCACACGAACACCCGATACCTGAGCTTGCTCGCAAGCAACGAGGTCGGCCCCGACAGCGGTCGCCATGTCCTGCGGCAGCCGCTGCCGCTCTCTGAGGGCCACGGATAGCACCTCTTCCCGTACGAGCGGCACCAGCTTGCCCACCGTTCCAATGAAAACGCTCAGGTACAGCCGCTCACGGCCGGCTGCGGCCGTTCCCGCCTCCACCGGCGGCTGAGCGGTAGGAGCAGCCACAGCTCTAGACGCGAAAGAGTCACCGATGGCCTCGAAGCCGGGGAAGGACGAGGAGGACGAGGAGGACGAGCTGCCGTGCCCGCTGGCGCTGCCGCGTCTGGGCAGGACGGAGGGCACCCGGGAGGCGCCGCGTACTCGACGGGCGGAGCTACGGGAGCTCTTGCCCTTGTGTCGAGTGGCCCCTTCCGCCTTAGCCTTGGCGCTCTTCGGCTTCGGTCCCGTCTTTGCCTGAGGCGGATGCGAAGTGGAGCGGTGTTCCCTTCATTTGCGGGGATCTAAGTTTAGGGGCGGTTGTTGTCGTTGCAGTATGGAGAACGGGTGGGATGTAGGTGGATCGTAAAAGCGCTATGCGATACATACTTGGTAAATACAGTAGTAGTGCTCCGGCTTTAGTTTGACGCCTTCGAGTCAAGTTGTCGGTACCGTCGTTGTTATCGTTGTTGTGGTCTGGCGTTGTTGTCTTGCACGATCATAACCTATTTTCCATACGCTTAGACGCTGTTATCGCGTCGTCATTCACATTGTTTTCTTTGCCACGATGCATGCCCATTTACACGGACAACTGACCTTAGTGGAGAAGACGCAGTTGGTATCCCGCTGAATGCATTGCTCGCAGCGCGTCTCTCCTTCGGCCATGACGCATTTTACTCGCTTGTCATGGCAGAAGTTGCATGCGGTCCGTGGACTCCGCGCTCGGGCACTTGGCTGATCCAGAGGGTGTGGAAGAGTGGGGTTGTGTGGTTGTCATTATCAACATGTGAGGGTGATTAATCAGCAGTTTTGTTTTGAGCTCAAAAGGTTTCAAGGCAGAAGCAAAATAAGCTCCATCACACGCGAAGAGCATCATTGCACATGGCGTGTCGGCAGGTTGGTGTTGCTCGAACATGGACTACGATAACCACCTATGTACCCGAACGACGTGTGAGAATGGACACACACGTAAGTTTAGCATTGAAATAGAACCGAGAGCAAAAATCAATGAAGCAGTACCACTGATGATTTGGCCAACGGGGTCGATATTGTGTCTCAAACTCGTGCCGTTGGATGGTTTTCAGTCATTCTATTCAGAAAAAAAATAAACACAGAGAGTCAGTGGAGAACGTAGAATGGATTGTCGTGAACTCACGTATGGTGCCTGCAATAATCTCAAGGGGATAAAGGGCAGCCGCTGAACAACTGCTCTCTCATGTTGTATCCGCAAAACCTCACTCGCGTGTTGTGGGTCGATTACTGTAGCAACCTGACCTTGAACACAGTACCATCGAAAAAGGAGAGGTGTGCATAGACAGCATTTTGGTTACATGAGAACACGCAAGTGTCTGCCCGTAGCAACCTGCAGAGAAAGCGGCTTTTTGAAAACCTCCTCGGGCCGGAAATATGTCACCTTTTGCACTGGCTTGTCATTGCATGGAGATGAGATCAATCAACGAAGGGCGTGGGAGCGCGTGCGTGATCCACCACCATCACGGCTAGCTCGAGAGGAATTCGATTATTGGTGGCTCCCATTCCTTGAATCAGTCTCACCATCGCCTATCCTTGGAACTACCGATACAGGTGGCCTGTACGCTTTGGGAAAAAGATGCCGCAGCGTAGAACAATCGAGCGTCCAGAGCGTCACAAGAGAGAGAGACCCGATCGAAAAGGCTTACAGGTCTAGTCTACCCATCGTGGGCATATCAGAGGGTCTACTCAGCGACCATGTACCACGTAGGAACTTATGCCACGCGCATCGCGTCACAAACCAACATTCTAGAGATAAAGCGGAAAACACGCGAACGTGAACCTGGCGTAGAGACCGGTGTACGCTTGTCGGAGAGCTCGAGAACATGTGACGCACCGAGCTTAACACACGTCTAGACTGTACCGACACGGCTGTAAGTCTAAGTATCCACGGCTCTCATACTTTGTCTCCTCCAAACCATTCACAGAGAGACACTCGCCTTCGGTGTCTCTCCGCGTGAGCGTCCTCTGGTGGGGAAAGCTTGGGTCTTGCTTGGGTTGGCCATCTCTTCAGCAAGTTTAAACTTGCGAGTAGCGACAACAGCAGTTTGCACGGATGTCGGGGCGAGTGGCCAACGCTGACGCTGACGGGGTAGAGATGGGAAACTCCGCCAAGAGGTCGAGCTTTTCGCTCTCTCGCTCTCGCTCTCTCGCGCTCCCTCTCTCTTTGTTTCTGTCTATTTTCTCTTTCTCTCTATCTATCTCTTGTCCTGGTGCCGCCTTGGCAGGGAGAGCCTCTGCACGCTCCTTGATTGCGAATGGGCACGCAATGGCGACGTCACCGCGCCTGCGTTGCTCGGCGTTTTCGTTCCGCCTGACAAACCGATACGTCGTGTACACCTCACGAGTAGGCTCACCGCTAAACAAGCTGCTATGAGTAAGTACGACTTCCCGCTCGCATGTGAACTGTGAAATCAGGAGACAGCCAGGAGACGGGAGAGAGCAGGTCGATGTCTCCTTTCATGCGAAAATGTTTGTCGTGCTGCTTGGACCGGACCGGCAAGTGTTCCGCCGCGTCGTGTTGTCTGATGGTCTGAACCGGCACATAGGTTCGCTTGTTGGCGGAGAAATTGACTTGGGGAGATAGATGAAAACATGTCTCACCTGAATCATCTGTGTATAGACTTAAAAAGACTCGAAATAAGTCCAGTACCCGGCCGGTTTCCCTCCACTCACTGAAAAGACTCCACCACATCCCGTTCGACTGTGGGTATATCTCGAATTGGTAGTCTTTTTGTGTGTGTTTTTTTTATTTTTTTCTTAATATGTTTTATTATTCCTTAATGTCTCACTGAATGAGAGTTGGATCGACCGCTTACCAGAACGAAATAACGTTCCCGTCCGTATTTTTCGGTTGGGCCGTCCTTCACTGACGTTCGTGCCTTTCGCAATTGGTCCAACGCACGCCACGTACGTCTAGCTTACGTCACAGATTATCGGAACAAAAGTTTGTTCCCCCCACAGAACGAGGAACATGTTGGAATGACCACCAGGCGTGATGAGCCTGCCACCCGCAAGGAAAGTGTCACAAAAGGTGTTAGGGAGCAATCTCGAGCGCACTGCGGGTGGAATGCACAGCAGTAGTACATTTACAGTAGCACAGTACCGTATACGACACAAGATAACACACCCCCTGGAACGATTTTCAAACAAAGCTCGATTTCTCAGCAGCGGAGTCACAGCTCCGAAAACAGCGGCGTTGAAGCTGCCTCGTCGAGAGCTTTCTGGACATGCATCGTTTCGTGTATGCATCCTCTTCGTTGTAGCGTGATCGAGCCTTGAAAATTGGTCGTGGGGGGTGTGTTATGTTGCGGGTGTGTAATCTTGTGGTCGAATACGGGAGTCCAATACATGCACAAAAAAAAAAAAAAATGTATTAACGCGCTCACCAGAGGATTGGTACGTGGAAACACTCACCACGTAAAATTCATAGTCTCCACAACAGCCTCCACAAGTAATTACGCGTATAATTAGGCGTATAAAGATGGACACGATCCCATCTATGTTAAAGCATAGTCTATGAGGTTGTTCCTGGAATCTAGTTACCGTCCGCGGATTGGAAAGGGTATAGGTTTGTTCAAGTCAAAAGAAACAAAAAACAAATACTTGTATGCATACAACGGAGCAATCGCGCTTCAATGTGTGCCAAAGATGGCTGCAAAAAAACGACAAGACAATGCGTTGGCAGGGTTAGGTGAGAATGATTCGTGGTCGACCTCACCTTGTAAGGTGGCAACCCCACCAAAAACAACGTATCCTATGAACGAGAACGAGAAGTGATGCCTAATACGCTCAATCAAGTCTTCCAACCTCTTGGTCATGATCTTGTACAGAACGGGCCCGATAAGTAACAGAGGCTCATATTTTCAAGAAAAAAAAGGAAACAGGTCTAACAAACACACCTCAGCGGTGGACCCTACGCTAACCTCTATACAACAGCCTGTGCTCGACAGTGGCGACGAAATAAGAGAAATGAGCCTCGGCCCGATAGTACAGTTTCTTATCTACGGTTCTGTAGTGTCGAGACACCGGATACCACCGCCGGGTTTCTCCACAACCGGGCTAATACTGTAGCGTATACTGCTATGCCTCGATGTACATCCGGGGGCACGACGACGCGATGGGCTCTTCCGTTCTTGTCTTAGGCTGCCAAGAACAATCTGCCCCTCCCCATTTATTTAGCCAAGACATGACGGGTGGGGTGAGACAAGACACGGTGAGGGTTGGAGCTTCAGCCGCCGACCACTCAGCACAACAAACAAAACCTCCCCAGGCATCAGAATCGCACCTTTGTCCATACACATCGCCCTCAGTTCGACTCGCGAAAAGAGGTTGTACATCAACACCAGTTCTCTCCCCTACGGGTAAAGAGCGCCACACGTCCAAACATACGTATTCTGACCCCCGACACATTGTCGGATCGAAAAGAAAACAACACTCTCTTGTCTCGTAAGGCGTGGGGACGGTAATGTGCTCCGTCTCCGACCGCGACACGTCGTCGGGCAACACTGACAAGCGAGGAACGAATGCTGCCCCGCACTCCCGTTCGAAACCCTGGCTTCCTGATTTCCGGGGCAAGCCCCTTGGCTTGTTTTTCCTTGTTTTTGTCAGCTTGTGGCTACGAAGATCGTGCCCTTCCTTTCAACAAGAGTACGGAAGAGGCGGTGCTGGGTAGAGGCCAGAGCGATTGCTATCGACAAGGCGGCGAAAACAACCGCCGTCATCTACTACCAAGGGAAAGCAGGACGACGACACCGTTAGGTGCGTGCAACCGCCAAAGAGAGGAAGAAAATGTACGTTTGCGTTGCCCTGTCCTCGCGATGCGCCCACCTCATCACTGCGGTTTTGGCGCAGTTACCTGAACCGACGACCAAAACATGAACAATTGCAGCAAACAACAGCAGCAACCACAGCATCAACAGGTAAGAATCTAACCGAACGAGGCAGGCAGACACGGTGAGATATGAGAGAGTCGGACGGAGAGCGAAGATCGGCGCAGCGCGGTGCGGAGTGATTCAGGGAAACCATAAAGTTGGCGAGAGAAACAGATTAGAGAACCAGTAACAGTGGGATGGTGGGGGGAGTTGAACGCAAGAAGTACCTAAGCAGCGAGGTTCCCTCCTCGCCCCCCAGAACGAAAAAAGCGTGGTTGACTTGCAAAAAGCTCCCGGCGCTCTGCTCATGTGTTTCATAATCGGAGGCTTCCGAGTTGTATGACAAGCGGGAAATACACACATACTTCATTATGCATATGCCATCGACAACAAAATCATGCGCACTTTTAGCCGTACAGCAAGCAGCGTACCTTGACGTGGTAACGCACGAGAGCGATCGCGTCGTACACGGCGTGGGCCACGATCGGCACGAAGATGTTTCCCGTAGAAAGAAAAAGGCCATGGAAGAACATTCCGCTCAGGGTGGCGGTGAGGAAGTACGCAACGGTCGCAGCGTGAAGGGACTATGAAAAAAAATTACAACAGAAACGCGACAAGCGGTACACAAGGGGGCACCAGGGGGTGGGGCTTGAGATCTGGGGGGGGGTTGAGGTTGTCGAGAAACACTGGAAAGCGGGGGTGATGCAGGAGAAAGACGTTCAATCGAGTACGCGCAGCAGTCCGTAGTCTCAGCGAGCTGTGTGATTTCAAGGTAAGCCCGACAAAAGATGTCCGGTTCACCCCAAAAGCGGGAAAATGACGAAAAAACTGTCGTGCCTCCCACCGAAGGTCATACCTCTTTGTCCCGTACAGAGATGCGACAGACGCTCTCCCTTCCGAAAAAAGTTCACACCAAGCCGTAAAGCTCGCACCAACATGCTATCTGTGAAACACAATGCCGAGATACGAAAGCCCTAAAGGAGTAGTAAGTGCATCCCCAAAATATGGCAGAATCAAAACGGCGGCAGCAGCTTCCCCGCGCGCCCCTGATAAATCACCGTTCGCGTTGCCCCGCTGCTCAGCGCCCCCCCCGTTCCATTCGCGTTTTGGGTGCACCAATGAAACGCGGTTTTGGTGAACCATGAAGGAGCCCACGTAATCTTCATATATTTTCTTTTATTTGCAACCGGAACACGTGCAAGCAACAAAAACACAGCTCACCCCGAAGATTGTCGCGGAGAGGCCTACGATGGCGGCCATCGGTAGCCCTGTCTTGGCCGCGAGTATGAGGGGCAGGAACCCTCGGAACGCACACTCCTCGCACAGCCCGACGAGCATCGACAGGGGGATCACGACCCCGGTTACCTTGCCCAGCTGACCGATTCGATTGCGAAAAAAGTAAGGGTCGTCGTGTTGGTGACCTCACCATACGCCATGATGATGAACGTGAAACGCCATATTGAACGTGAATACACCATGACGCAACGTGACTCCGACCAAACACGAAGCAAAAAGAACGAAAAAAAGACCTTGCCTTGACCTTGCCGGTCAACGCGAACGGAAAGCGTAAGATGTTGCAAGCCAGTGCCTCTTGGCGCGTCTGCTCCGCACCATCACACCAGTGGTAGTTGTAGTACCACCGTCACAGCAAACATGCAGAAGCAACGGTCTATTTGCGGTAGCACCCTGGGAAGTGGCCCCAAACATAGCTGAAGTTCACCACCATGCCCGCTAAAGCTTAGGAGTCGAGAAGATTTCTCAAGTTCGGGTTTTTCCTCGGGCCCGTCACCGTATTCCCTCGTGCTGTGCACACCTTGAGGTTCATTCGCCTTTTCCGCGACAACAAAACCTGCGCTCATTTGCAGACGTGTGTGTGTGTGGGCTCTCGTTCCATGTATTCTGGGCACCAGGCTACACCTTACGGTACATGTTTGACGCACCAGCCCGGGATAAATAAGAGGAAGGTAGCCATAGACAAAAAAGGTCGTAAAGACTCTGAGCCAGAGCGATGGGCTCCGTTTCCTTTCATCCGGATATTTCGCCAATTCCAGGATCGTCTTCGCTACAAGCCGCGCCCCCCCCCCCTCCTCCGCTTCGCCGTTCCGCCCACAAAATAAACGAAATAGATACGCACAGCAGACAAAAAAAAACTCACCTGTCTCTTGCTGCCAAACAGCTGAAGCGCGACCTCGGAGGTTGCCTCGTCGATCTTCCTCACCCACTCCCACTCTGTCCACCTGTCTAGCAGCAGTCCGTACCCGAGCAGCGGCACCATGCCGGCCACCCCCAAAGCGGTGGCGGCGGGGCTCACCATACAGGCCGACACTACCTGCTCGCCTGCATACACACACAACAAAACATCAGGGGCCCCGCAGAAGTGCGTTCCGGAATATTGAGGGGGTCTCGATGCGGCGCGGTTGGCTCGGGTTTGGCGATGGTACAATTGTGAAGACGATTTTTTGGTCCTCAACTCGACGAGAGTAGTGCGGGGGTCCCGCAATATCGCGGGAATGGCGCGAAATAACGACACCGCGTCGAAGGCAACGCCAGCACATGTTTGGCATTGGGGAGGCGCGAGAGACTTGGGAAGCACGGCGTAGGTATTCAGTGTTGCACCGCAATATAAATAGGAGAGGATGATGACGGACGGGAACATACGCACACAGGCGTGGCTTTTCTATCATCAACCACGAGCAGGGGAAGACGTCCAGAACAACGAGCTGGCGGTTTCACCGTTTGGTGCGAAACTTGCTCAACTGATTACAACATGCATGAACGTCGCCACGGACTCGCACTGCCCTTGCGCTACTCACGCATCGCCGCCGAAGCTACCAAAACGAAGAGACCGACAAATGCCAGCTGAGTCGCCGCCACCGCCACCAGCGCGACCCAGCTGATCCCCGGCGGCACGTCGACCGCACCCCCCCTCCCGGAAGCGGTCATGTCAACGACGCCGCCGCCACCGTCTCTCCCGCTCGCACCGGCGCCGCCCAAAACGCCTCCTCCTGCCTCCTCCGCTGCCGCTCCGACGGCTATCGCCTCCTGGATTTTTCGCTCGAAGGCTTCCTCAATGGCCTGTTCCTCGTCGCTGTCTCCGCTGTCGTCACCGTCGGCCCGTGGTGAACAAAACAAGGCCCCCACGCCGCCCAGGAGGCCCTTCGCGCGGGCGGCCCAGCCCCCCTGCTGGCCAAGAGCGGTGCTGGAGAGCCGGCGCTGGAGGCTTCCCCTCTCTACTCTCACTCCCCCTCGCCACCTCCGTCGCGAGGTGCTGCTGCTACTGCTGCCGCTGCTGGTCCTGCTACGGGCACCCAGGCCTTCCTCTAGATCCGTGGCAGCGGCGGCGGTCTGCTGTCCGCACTGCTTTCGCTCGGAACCAACCCCGGAGGTCATGCCTGAGTATTGGGGACGAGACCTCCAGCTGCGTTGGTTGGGCCGCCAGCAAGTTTGGCGCGTACACGAAATGGGTGTGTGAGTTGTTTAGTGAAAAGCTTCACCATTCCCGGCGAAACAAATTATTTTCTATGTTTCCTCCTAGTACGTAGTCCCTCCGCAAAAAAAATGTCGCAAAAAAAATTGTCATTGGCCGAGGGGCTACAGGCCCTCGAAAGAAATCGGAAAGTGCCGAGACAAAGGGTGACTTGGCTTCAGTATGAAAAGAGTCCCCAAAACGCGTGGGGACACTTTTGATACTGAAGGCAAGTCAGCAATTTTTTCTAGTGCCAGGCTATGTACCGTTTTACCACCTAGGGGACACACGGCTTGGGAGATTGTGTGCAGCAAGTCAAAGGCCTAGGAGGGGCATCACGCAGCATATCACACAGCGTACCACCTCACCCAAGCACGATAGAGCAACGGTTCTCACGTGCGTTTCACACAGCGGGCCCTAGGGCGACTACGGTGCGGTAAATAGACCTTTTGAATGCTGTGTCCCCAAAGTGTCCCCATTTGGGCTTCCAGTACTAGGAGGGTTAAAGCACTTTCATGCTTCTTTTCATAGACCGTTCTTGTTCCCGGCTCGTGGCCACGGGCGCGGGGTAGTGATGGTAGATATACGAGACGCGATGCCGATGACATGCGATAACAAGGCCGGGAGACGGGTCGTGTTTCGTGGACGGATCAAAGGGGTACAGGTAAATAGTTTCTGGGAGAAACATATGAGCGCAATACTTGTAGTCTACCAGCGAGGAGCATGTAGGAGACCTCGACACATCCCATCGATTGGGGCATTGTCGCGAACGGTTAGTCTCTCTCTGATTGGATGTATGCATGATTTCTCTACAAAAAGATAGACAGCGAAGAGATATTGGCCCGGGTCCACTACGAATAGTCACAAGTTTTGTTCGAGAAACGGAAGGTTAAGAGATGGATGTTACACTACATGCTGGTCCATGCTCCACGGTGACACAATGCGACACTGAGCCTCGACCCAACCTTGCCGGGTGTGCCCCAACTCCGTGCCGTTATAAGTTGAATTTTAGATAGAAGTGGCACCGCACCGGTTTACTCTGCAGGAAAAATCGCGGCTGCTGTGCCAATGGTGCCGTTCGAACCGTCTCGTCGAGATCTTGCCGTTTTGTATCCTCTCCGTCGTTGGAGCAATCGAGAGAAAAAAACCGGTGCTGGGGGGGGTGTGGTATCTTATGCAACATGCGGCAATTCGCTCTCTCCGTCGAAGGTGCACGTGGAGACAAAGGAAAGACCCTTTCGAAGAACGAGATTGGTATTGTGTCCAACCGCCCGACCCTTTACCCCGACACTATCGGCACACAGACAACCGAACACCGGGATGCCGAGACTCAGGACTCCTACGCCCCTGAGTACGTAGGTGAGCTCACATCGGATTCCTGACGGACATGGCGGCAGGAACAGATCCCCCTGGGATGAACGAAAGAGCCGATGGAGAGAATAACAAACAGCACAACGCCGTCGCAAAGACTGATACTCTCATCGCTCTATGCTCACACATCCGGAACAACAGCAGAGAGTGCCGTGTGGAGAGAGGATCGTTAAATTTGTCCATGTCCAGTGTGTGTATCGCCTGCAGGAACCACCTGCAACTCCCAGATTGACAGTCCCGCGCTCGGTTCTACATTCTCAGAGATCGCGAATGTGTGTCCTTGTGTCCTTGCGTCCTTGCTGTATTGACGCTACCTGTACATTAGTTCCCAGCTGCCGTTGTCTGGTGCCTATCATTGGCCGTGAAGTGGGGGCAATGTTGCGAGAGGCCATGTATACCTCCATCCTCTGCTGCATGCTGTGCTTTCTGCCGGTCCTCTCTTTCGTCCCGTCGCCACTGACAAGAAGAGTCCTTTGGACATCACCAGGAACAACGGCAGCTGCTGGGGGGCTAGCGTTGTCGATGGGCGGCGTCTCCAATGGAAGGGTGTGGTGAGACAGCCAACCGAGCAAGGTTTCCCCAATGCCACGGTGTGTAGGTGTGCAACAGTAGTTTCAGAAATCAATACCCGTGGGGCCCTTGGGGCCTACATCTAGCATGTAGTATTGAGTGCTTGTACAAGCTTGGCGATAAGGATCCACGGTACCTCGGGTCGACGACCGCCAATCGATGGCACGGCTTCTACGTGGTCTAAACACAGCTCCCGGTCATGCACAGTAGTGCGCAGCAATTATCCACACGTGAATAGCGATGAGCACGTGGCGCCCAGGCGACCGTTACTCGCGGTGTTATTATGAATCGAATCAGCTTTGCCTGCGGGATCCACAGCAGCTCGAGATCGCGAGGAATTGGTCGACTCTTTAGACCAGGGCATTCAACCTTCTGCCACTATCATCAGAGAATGACCATAGCAACCGACTCACCCTCTCTACATTCTCTAGCTCGGCCAACTTCTGCGCTGGGGTGAGCTGGCTAGCGTTCGCGGACCTCTGCTGAGTTCAGAGGTGCATGGATTCGCCTTTTTGCTCCCCTACAGAGGGTAGTGCTCATGATCTACGGAAATCTCCGCTCGTTGGTGAACATGCACCTATGCAGCTTCCCTTCAATGACTTCTACGTTTGCCGCTGTTTGGTAGCGCTCGACGTTGCGCGCAAAACTGTAGAAGCAGCAGGCCATCGACAGCGAACGTTCGGGTTCGAACCTACACGGTGGTGAGCGAAACGTGTGGTCCATTTTCCCTGAGATAATTTGGTGTGTGACTCACGACCGCCTCGCATGAGCACTGTGCCATTATTTTAACCGCAGCCTGTTCTCGTATTCCAACGCGCCCAAAAAAACAGCAACGATCAACTGCCGAGCATCCAGGCCACGGGTTTCAGAAGCCAACCAACAAGAGTCGCTACGAGACAAGAAAGAGCTCCCTTTGGCTGCTTGCGGCGAGATAGCCAAGAGAGTGGACTGTGCGTAAGAGCCACACAACAACGTGGCTGGAGGCCTCGCTCGAACAGCCTCCGGGGGGGACAATTGAATTCCCGTCAAGATGAGTTCGTGAGCGGAGAGACACTGTCGCGCGAGGAGTTCGAGGCATGGTCAGCCGCAGCGGCAGCTGCAGCAGCAGCAAATCCTACGGGCGACGGCCGTCGTACTGGCGCGTACGATGCTACGACTTCTGTGTGCGTGGAAGAGGTCTACAGCTCGAGGGCCTCTCCCGCCGGAATAAACTGGGTGTCCATTCTCCTGTCGGTCGTTGACCAAGTCTTGTTCCTCGGCTTCTTTACTTGGCTCGCCACACCGGCAATACGTGAGTTTGATCTCACACTGCTATTTTCTTCCATAGCTAGTTTTTCCCAGCCATGACGGGGCTACCTGACGTCGTTCGGAACATATCACGAGATTTCGCTCACACACCCTTTCATGCACCCCGAAAGAAGACCATGGTGATTTTCCACCATCGGTGGTGTACAACAGATACGTCGGACTCCCGCTCACACAATGCTCCGGTCATGCGAACATATGCGACCTTTGCCTGGTGTTTTCAATCAGCCCCGGGGGTTTTATTCTTAGCGCATGATATGTATCGGAAGGGATGCGTGTCTTGCCGTTCAAAGCGTTTGCAAACCGGAGCAAAGAAGTAACCCCACTACCCCCCAATTATCTCTTGCACGCCAATCCGGAACTCCCGAGCCGCAGGCGAGCAGTTACGTTCTTCGTTTGTGCTGAACTTTCCGGGGATAGGCTTGGGGGCGGCTGGGGCGGTGCCAATGTTCGTGTACGGCCTTTTTCTGGGCACGCAAAACTGGCCTTGGCTCAAGAGGCGCGAGGAAAAGGCGGCCGCCGACAACAAAGAGCTCAACCTTTTCGGCGGGCGGAGGCAGGTAGGTTGGCTCTGTCCTATTTGGCGGCTGGACTCGCACCGAAGCGCGATGAAACCAACACAGCTCCTTGCTATCCCACTCGTGGTGCCACGCTACGTGATTCCTTTCGCGCAAGCGAGCGACGTGAAAGTGACACCAGACTGGGTCCTCGGATTCTCGATCAGGTGGCCAGAGTGGCCGTGATATCTGTCCCCCTGGCCATACTCGTAGCCCTCTGCGAGGAGTGCGTGTACCGAGGATTGGTGCCCCTTCTACTCGTGGCCAAGACCGGCTTGCCTGTGGCCGCTGTGGTCGGCATCTCAGCGGTCTTCTGCGGGGTGAGACGCTCCTGCTTTGTGGGTGACGCCTCCGTGTGCGGCTTCCGTACAATACTTGTTCGCTTGGAGCTACGTTGTTTAGAAGCGCAACTACTTTCGTCTGCTTCGTTTTCCGGAGACACGTCTCTGTCCTTGACCCTGCACACGTGTTTCTGTTTCGTATTGCCGATTATGCACACACATTACGTACCAAGAACAGGCGCGTCACGCGGGGACGTTGGGGAGCGCATTCGACGCCGCGGTTTTAGGCGTGTACGTCCACTGCCTCCTGTTGTCGACACGAAGCATCTTGGTCCCAGTCGTTGCGCACGCTGTTTTCGACGCCATCCTCTTCGTGGTGGGGCACTTGAAGGTACTCATTTTCACCGCTTGATGCTATTCGGTTACTCTTAAGCTCACGATTCAACTCTTTGTGCCAATAAGATACATGATCATGACAGGGTGGTTGCCGAATGGGACACAAACAAACCCGCTTTGGCCGACGAGAATATTGGGGTGTTCCTTCGCGCGACCCTGTTCGTGGCTTATCACATGGGGGAAACGCTACTTGTATATTGTCCGCTCTGTCCACTTCGAGATGATTTCTGCGTGCGATGTGGAATAACATGCATCTCGAAAGCAGCATCTCGTTGCGCCACCGATGTGGTGAAAACAGCGCGTGGTAGAGAGCAACACTGAAAGGGTACCTGGTAGGTAGTTTTACGCCCCTTGTCCGTTCCCATGCAGAGCTCTCATTTTTCCCAACATGAAGGGCTTGACGGCTTTTCAGACCCGCGAAATTTGCAGTCTAAAGCTCTCGGCGACCATATGCTAGCCAAGAGGTGATCGCGGCGTTCTACGTCCACTCGCAAATCCTTTTGTTTCTGGCGCCACAGGAAACCGCCCGACCACAATAATATTCGTCACGGCTGGAGAGCACCCAGGAAGGACCAGAGGAGGGCGTCGTCGTTGGTGTCCCCCACACCGTGCAGGAGCGTGTTTGCCGTGGACGTAGTCACGTTTAACGAGAAGACGATTTCCTCTTATTGTATTTCTTGTTCATTATTGAGTCTGTGTGTGTTTATTTACATAGCACCGACTACGCATTGCGGATGACAATTGAAAAGACGTCGGTGTTTGTGTGTGTGAGAGTTCGACCAGCTTGATCGTTCATACCGGGATCAATGCGAGGTACCATTAGGTTGCCAACTATAAATAGGTACAGGAGTAAATTCACACCCCTCGGTTGAACTGCTGCTTGATCAGAGATTAGCCTGGGCTTTTCGGTTTGACCAACTTGATTCGTTGAAGATCGGCCTCTGAAACCAGGACATACGTTTTCATGTTCAAGCATTGCCCCCACACATTGAGAGCTGTCTTTCACCTACAAGTATTACCGTGGGAAATCGTTGGAAGGTTGAATGGCGTATCTGCGTACAGCAGATACCACCACAACATTAATAGGAAGTACGCTCGAATGCGGCACTATTATACCGCTCACGTCGTTCTGCAGGGCATATAGGGCCAAGTGACTCCGGCACGCCACACGCTTGCCGCCTGCTGTGACGGCAATCGATCGAAATGTACCAGATAAAGCGAGATACAGTATTGCCGTGCTGGTCTTGAAAATCAAAATGCCCAACTGACAGTGCGTGGGATAGTTCGTCATGTCCGATTATGGCATGTAGAGTCGAACAGGTAACAAGCGATTGCTGAATTCCTTATTCCTTCACCGTAGAGAATCTTCTTGCGGATCATGTCTGTGAGAGGGTGGATTTGGACTGAAAACGATAAAATATCAAAGAACGCAAGCATTGATTCGCGTCCGCTCGCGATCCCTACTTTGCAGAAGACTTCTCATACGACAGAGGGAGGCGAAGACCGAACGAAAAAAAACTTGATAAGCACTCGTACAGCAAAGAGCATGCTGGTCATGCCGTCTCTGTGGTGCAACCTTGGTGGCGGCATCTGAAGGTTTGTTGAAACGACGTTGCAGCCCAACGACTGATACTTTGATGAGTCCATCCCAGCGTCTTCTCCTCGTACGGTTATCTATGAAAGAACTACAGGCACCCGCTTGGAAGCCCCAGGCGAGGGAGAGAGCACCTGTAGTTGTACAGCAGTATAATAGAACATCTGAGCAAGTAATCTCGCAGCGGGGGCTCCGTGTATGACACGAACCCCCCCAACTGCTCACAGCCATGCAGCCCCCGACCAGGCGTGCCAACGTGGGTGCGGTGCGCTGCCCTCAAACCGACAACATTCATCATGTGTTACAGCTTATGAGCAACAAGCACTAGGTGCGTGACGGTAAGCGTACTACAGCATCTCTTTTTAGACACCAAGTTCCTCCATCGTTCAGGGATTGCCTCCTCTATGCTATAGTACCATGGATTTTTCTGCTTGCACCACCATGCCCAGCATCCCGCGGAGCATACAGCAAGTCAGCCAGCAACGTCACAACATACATGAGAGGAGTAACGGACGTAAGACACTGGAGGGCTTCCATATTGCTGCCTTGGAGGGTTATCGAGCATGCACTTCTGCCGTCCCATCGCTGCTGCCGTGCTTTAGTCTCGTTTACAGCAGTGTCGTATTATGGTTCATCATGTGCTGTATGCTCACTTGCTTCGTTCGGTGGCCTTTGCCCTCCGTTTTCCCTGTTCGTCTGTCGTGCAAGGCTTGGTAGGCTCACACAACACACACAACACTGCTGTGTATGGGGCTTCCAGCCAGAGGAAGGATGCCTGCATGGCTCGAACATATTGCGGTAGCCGTGACGCTGGCTTGCTGCACGTGCGCTGGAGACGGGTTCACCGGGCTGTCATCCGGTGAGTTCGGAACATGAACAGCAGCAGTAGAGTTACAGCGAACAACCGGTGGTGGTGGGTCTTGTCACCGCAACGTGCGAATCGAAAATCGATTACTACGGCAGTACATGTACAGGTTTTGCGGTTGTGGTCCGTGTCCAGCTGCTGCAGCTTTGAGAATCGAAAATGATTTTCAAAGAAGACCAGGAAGATGGAGCCTTGGTTACACATTGGTAGTAACTCTTTAGGACTAACCGATGTTGAACCTCGGGAAGATGACAAAAGGCCCGAAATCCCCGACAAGCCCAGTTGCGCTGACTCCATTCAAATATTCAAATCATCAGCATTTGAGGGCCACAGGCTACACAGCCGTGCATCCCAGACAGCGAACGATATTTCTGGACGTCGGCCTAGATCAGGCGGATTCGCTGACCTTGGACTCCCCTCTATTGCCGGTTGCACTGACTCCATTCAAATCATCAACATTTGGAGGCCCACAGGCCACACAGCCAAGCATCCCAGACATTGTACAGCAGTAGCGAGTGATAGTTCTGGACGCCGTCCTACAGCAGTAGATCAGGCGGCTTCCATTCTCCCCTCACATTTGACTTCACCATATCGATCAATTACCTGATTTGAGTTCCCAGTGTGCCTGAGAAGCACGATCATACTCAAGGGTCGTGCCCAACTCTGTTCCTCCGCCTATTCTGCGGATCATTCCCGGTACGCATGCACTCGTACGTATGCGCGTGTTCCGAGATACCCCGTCCACTGGACGCCTTCAGCATGTCAGTCGCAGCGATACCGTCAGCTGGCATGGCAGTTGCCTCACGCTGCGTCAGCGTGCCAGCTCAGCGTGGCGCGTGTTTCTGTGTTGGCGCTTTGCTGTGCACAGCCCCACTCGCCCCTTTACCTGTCACTTCCACTTCTCCCCTCTGATGGTAGAGTTCCGTCGCCTCTTTCTAGAGGACTGTCCCGTCCCGTGATACCTCGCGATCCCCACCACTGCTCCGGAGAGCCCGTCTGTTCACCAAACGACCGAGGGATCAACGCCCTCCTGTGGTCTGAGATAGCGAACCCTTCTTGGCGGCACTGGCACGAGTGTCATGAAGCTGTCCTATCTCTCTCCACCCCGTCTCTCTTCACACACACACCACCATGCCTGGCTCTGACGCAGAGCACCGCGACAACGACCACGTTGACAATACCATCCCTTACAACGACCTCGCCAACGACGATGACGACGAGACCGCCACCGTCACTTCGCTAACCCAGGCCGACGCTATGGACGTCACCACCTCACCCGGCGGTCATGCGGAGGGAGCCAAAAGCTTCTCCCGCCCCCACCAGTCGCCCGCCTCGTCCGCTTCTTTCGTCGCTTGGCAACGACGTTTTAAAATAAGCCAATTCACTTCGGGAACTCGGCAACCAGGTTACCGGTTTTTTTATTACCTCTGTTTTTTTTTTGGCGGTAACCATAATCGTGGTCGAGTAGATCATGTTGTGCGGGGTGGAGAACCCTCACTCCGCGCAATGGGAATGATCGCACCACGTTGTGTTAAAATTGTCAAGCACCCTCGAGGCAGTTACACAGTGCTTACAACTGTCTCTGGAAGTGAAAGCGCCAGAAAATAAGTTAAGTCATACGCAGCTGCATCCGTGCGCAAGGAAGTAAGCACAAGATGCGACACCCTTAGCAGGATGCAGTGCACCCTTCATGCGACTCGCCGAATACCTCACGGCGCTTCGCGCTTGGTGATGTGAGAGCCTGGTCCGGTGAGAACCCGGCGTGCTTTGTCCCGGCTTTGTAGGGACGCGAGGTCAATGGTCTATCGACTACTGCATGCACGACAATGAGTACCCCCCCCCCCCCCCCCCCCCCCCACCACTCCAAAACCAGACCGGGTGGCCCCCCCCCCCCCCGCCGCGTTTTTTTTTTTTGCCCCCGGGGTTTTTGGGGTCCCCCCTTTTTTTTTTTTTCC